GCCAGACCTCCCGGACTGGCACAGTTTGCTTAGTCGTCAGATTCAGATCTTTGATATGGACATGGATGCCATTGTTTCTGCTCTGCATGTGATGTATGCTGCTGACTCTAGTGTGCTTCCAGCTTATTACTCACTGTTGCCTAGTGTAGGTGTGCCTAGTGTACCCTCCCCTGCTGCGTCAGGCGTAGGATCCTCTGCTTTGTGTAGTCTTGGTGCTTCCGCCGTCGTTCCGTCGCCCGACGCCTCTGCTTCGCTTTCCTTCACCTTGGACTCTGGCGCTTCTCGGTGTTTCTTCCGCGACTCCACCACCCTGACGCCGCTTCCTGTCCCCGCTGCCGTTTCTCTTGCTGACCCCTCCGGCGGTCCGGTAGTCGCCCGCAGTTCCACCACCCTTCCCTGTCCGGCGGTTCCTTCGGGCACTCTTACAGGTCTGCATATCCCCTCGTTCTCCAGGAACCTAGTTGGTGTCGGCTGCCTCCAGGACCTTGGCGTCACCACTACGTTCCCTGGTCACGAGCGGTATGCTGTCTGTACCGAGGCCGCCACCGGTGCCCCCCTGTCCACGTTCCCCCGGGACCCGGTGTCCGGCCTGTTCACTCTGGACACCGTGACCCCCCCGGCTGGAGCGCTCCCCCAGGTTGCTGCTGCCTGCTCCTGTCGGTCCCTCACTCACCCGACCCTCCTTTGGCACCACCGCCTAGGTCACCCTGCGCTCCCGCGTCTGCGTCACATGTCCCAGCACGGTCTTGTCCTTGGTCTCCCAGGTTCTCTCCCCGCGTTTCCCTCCTCCCCAGCCCCACCTTGCACGCCTTGCGTCGAGGGTCGGCTTCGCCGTGCCCCTCACTCCTCCTCATTTCCCCCTACCGCCGCGCCGCTGCAGACCCTGCACCTGGACGTCTGGGGCCCCGCCCCCGTCCCTGGGCCGCGTCGAGAGCGCTACTTCCTTGTGCTTGTCGACGACTTCACTCGTTACACCACAGTCTTTCCCCTGGAGCGCAAGGCCGACGTGCCTGGCGCTCTCATCCCCTGGCTCGTCTCTGCGCGTGTCCACCGTGGTCTCCCTGTCTTGCGACTGCACTTAGACCGTGGTGGCGAGTTTGCCTCAGGTGTCCTTGGTCGCTTTTGTCGTGCGGAGGGCATCACCCAGACGTTCACCCTACCGGACTCCCCACAGCAGAATGGGGTCGCTGAGCGACGCATCGGTTTGGTCATGGAGGTGGCCCGCACCTCCATGGTCCATGCCGGTGCACCCCATTTTCTGTGGCCGTTCGCTGTGCGCTACGCTTCTCACCAGCTTAACTTGTGGCCGCACCCTCAGCAGCCGCAGGTTTCGCCGACCCGTCTGTGGACTGGGTCTCCTGGTGACGCGTCTGCGTTCCACGTCTGGGGCTGCCTTGCTCACGTCCGTGCCTCCGGCACGGACAAGCTCACTGCCCGCACCCTTCCCTGCGTCTTCCTTGGTTTTCCCCTTGACGCGTCCGACTGGCACTTTTACCACCCGCCGTCTCACCGCTTCTTTCACTCTCGTGACGTCACCTTTGACGAGTCCGTCTCCTACTACCGTCGCTTCCCCCACCGTGGTCCCCCGGTTACCCCCCCCCTGTTCCTGGTCCCTCCTTCCCCGGTAGTCCCTGCCCCTCCTCCTCCTCCTCCCCGTCTGGCCCCCTCTGGTGTGTCCCACGTCACCCCCCTTCCGTCGGTGGACCCGGTTGAGGAGTCTTCTGACTCTGGTGGCCCTCCTGTGCAGTCCTCGTCAGCTGCCCCTCCCCTGGCGTCCCCTCCCCAGTCCCCTCCTCCACCGCCTCTGCCGCCGCTGCAGCCGTCGTTGCCGCCGCCGCCGCCGTCGCAGCACCCGTTCGCTGACTCTGGGGGTGCTCGTCCCTGTAGCACTGGGGGTGGTCCCTCTGGGGGTGCTGGTTTGGAGAGTGCCGGTGGTAGCCGAGGCGCAGCTTGCGGTCCAGGTGTCGCCGTTGTGCCGCCCCAGCAGCAGTCCCCGCCGGTGTCAGCCCTTCGTCTGCTCGGCCTTCCGTCCCCCGACCCTGCGTCAGTTCCTCTCCTGCCGTCTCCTCCTCTTCCTGTCTACGGCCCTGTTTTCCCTCCGCCGGACTTGTCCCCGGCACGTCTCCCCCCTCGTTCCCCTCCTGTGTCCCCTCCTCTGTCTCCTGACCCGACTCCTCCGTCGCACGTCTGGTCTCACCGTCCCCCCCGTGCTCGTCCTGCCTCGCCTGTCTTGCGCTCCCACCCTATGTTGCTTCGTTCCCACGCGTCTCGTCCTCCCCTTCTGCCGTCGCCTCCTCCGTCCTCCCTTGTTGTTGCACCCCCTCCGCTGTCTGACTACCTTCGTGCCGCTCGTCCCCTTGTTCCTCGGGTCCTTGCCTCTCTCGTTACCGACCCGTCTGTTCTGGTCTCGTGCCTTGACGCTCTTGTCGCTGCTGTCGCTGACTTCGCCTCTACCCGCCGCCTTGACTACGCCACAGCTCTGGTCTCTGACCCTGCCTGTCCTCCGTCTGTCGGGGGTGCTCCTGCCCTTGGCAGTGACGTCCTGGAGGACCGCCAGTTCGAGCTTGCTTTCCTCTCCGAGGCTGCTCCCCATCTCTGTTCCATGCTGCTAGTCCCTGAGGGTGACCCAGACGCTTTCGACATCCCGACCCCTCGCACTTACGCTGAGGCGACCTCGGGACCCTAGGCCTCACAGTGGATAGCTGCCATGGAGCAGGAGATGGCATCTTGGAGATCCACCGGCACCTTCGTCGACGCAGTTCCCCCGCCTGGGGTGAACGTAGTCGATGGCCGCTGGCTCTTCAAGGTGAAGCGCCCTCCTGGAGAGCCGCCTGTCTTCAAGGCGCGCTATGTGGCTAGAGGCTTCAGTCAGCGCGAGGGGGTGGACTTCTTCCAGACCTTCGCTCCGACCCCGAAGATGACTACTCTTCGGGTTCTGTTACACCTAGCTGCTCAGCGTGACTACGAGCTTCACTCCCTCGACTTCTCCACTGCCTTCCTTCAGGGCAGCCTACACGAGCAGGTCTACCTACGTCGCCCTCCGGGCTTTACTGGCACCTTCCCTCCTGGGACCCAGTGGCTCCTGCGACGCCCCGTCTACGGCCTGCGCCAGGCTCCCCGTGAGTGGCACGACACTCTCCGTGCTACGCTTGCTGACCTGCAGTTCTTTCCGTCTTCCGCAGACCCTTCACTCTTCGTTCGTGCTGGTCAGACCCCGTTCTACATCCTTGTTTACGTCGACGACCTGGTCTTTGCCACAGCAGACAGGGACGCACTGGCCTCCGTGAAGGCAGAGCTGCTGAAGAGACACACCTGCACTGACCTTGGAGAACTGCGCCGTTACCTTGGCCTGCAGATCTCCAGGGACAGAGCTGCGCGCACCATCACCCTGACTCAGTCACACTTGGTGCGCCAGGTCCTTCAGAGGTTCAGCCTTCAGTTCTCCTCTGCACAGCCCACCCCTCTGCCTGTAGACCACAGGCTCTCCGCTCCAGTGTCTGAGGAGTTGGTAGAGCCCAGCGGCCCCTACGCAGAGCTGGTGGGTTGCCTCATGTACCTGATGACTTGCACTCGCCCAGATCTCGCATACCCTCTCAGCATCCTGGCTCGTTTTGTGGCCACAGGCAGACACCGACCGCAGCACTGGTCTGCCGCTAAGAGGGTTCTGCGTTATCTTGCTAGTACATCGGGCATGGGGTTAGTGCTAGGAGGACGCAGGCCAGTGGTCCTTACTGGACACACCGACGCTTCGTGGGCAGACGACGCCGAGACACTCAGGTCTACCCAGGGCTACTGCTTCAGCCTTGGCTCAGGTGCCGTCTCGTGGAGAGCTACCCGCTCCTCGTCTGTGGCGCAGTCCAGCTGTGAGGCTGAGATCTACGCTGGTGCCATGGCGGCACAGGAGCTCCGCTGGCTGACCTTCTTGCTCACTGACTTAGGTGAGCGGCCTAGCTCTGCCCCGGTCCTGTTCGCTGACAACAGGGCCATGATCCTCCTGTGTCAGGAGCCTCGACTCGAGGGCAGAGCGAAGCACATTCAGCTACGGTACTTCCTCCTGCGTGAGCTACAGTAGCGACGTCAGGCTCGCGTAGTACACTTGGCCTCAGGTGCCAACACAGCTGATATCTTTACGAAGGCGCTTGCGCCTAAAGATCATCAGCGGCACTGTGTACAGCTTGGTCTAGTTCCTGTAGCCTCTCACTTGCTAGGACCTTGACTTTGTATTGTCCTTTATATGTATACTCAGACTGGACTTGTGTCCTCTCCCAGTGGCTGGACTAGTAGTGCCGCCCTGCTCTTGCTCTTGCCTTGTCTGTACTCCTTCTGACTGGTCTCTCAGACCCTTGTCTCAGAGGTTGGACTAGTAGTGCCGCCCTGAGCTGCTTGTTTAGGACATTCCCCTATGCAGTCTAGGGGGTGTGTCAAACATGTGTACTTGTCATGTTTGTATAGACTGTATAGGGTAGTCTCTTAGAGGGTACAACCCTGAGGTATATACTTGTGTACTCTCTTTCTATCTATTATTCAACTCTCAATTTCTGATAGATAGACCCAATTCAAGAGTGGGTTGGAGGGGAATGCAGGGACGTGGGCGACTCCCTCGTCCCTGTCGCCCACGAAATGCCCCTCACGACCACCCAGAGGATGCGATTACGTGCTCTGGACAGTCGTGAGAGGGCATCGACAGAATCTGCCATTGATTCCGCCACCCTACGCTGTGCTGGCACAGTGTGGGTTGGAGGCATCGAGGTAGTTGCCTGCGACACAAGCTAATTGGCTGCTCTAGCAGCATGCAGCCCTGAATCTGTTGCTTATGCGGACGATGTGGCATGCAGATGGGCCAAATCGTTGGGTACGCGGTCACGACAGAAGAATGGGATTCCGTGCTCAGAATAAAGCCTAGTCACAAGTACAGTTGAATTCCGATAAAAAAATGCTTATGCACATTCAACAACTCCTGGGTGCTGTATTTTTTTTGCCTTTAATTACACCCAACCCAAAATTTCCTTGCATTTTTATTAACACCATAGGGTGTTTTATACGAGGGAATACGGTACAATTGCAACTACGACTTCCTGGGCTTTTCCAGCACACAGTTCAAGTATTCATGGCTCTTGCTCTTCCTAGGGTCCTCCACCGGCGATATATCCCAGTACAGCTGCTTATACTTGAACATATTAATCACCACTACATACTGCTTCATCTTGCTTTTCGGCGCCGTCAGCAGCTCAATCCAAATAATGCCGCCCGGCCGGAGTATCCGGTGCCACTCAAACATCAGCTCCTCCAGCTCCAAGACCGAGAAGTAACGGACGCTTTGAGCCGAGTGTATTATATCGAGAGTGTTGTCGAAAAACGGCTGCCGGGCTTTAAGTGGGACGTGGAGCGGCACCAACCCCCTTAAAGCAATAGTCTCCATATAAGGCAGGCCCCCATCTACACCCTCAATGAATTCCTTATTCATTGAAGTTGTAAGGATGGTTACGTTGTAACGAGCCATGTGGGCTGCAAAACTCCCCGAACCTCCACCCACGTCGAGGCCTATCCGAAGCGAACCCGGAGGCTTGAGCTGCCAGACCTGCGCCATAGGTACGGTGCCCAGGTACGGCTTCTGCCACCGCTTCTCCTCCAGACTCATGTTGAAACAATTCCTGCACTCCCCTTTCTCCCGCGTATTCACACACCCATACGACTTGCACTCGTGCAACGCCCATCGCACATTCTCGTCCCTCAACACCTCCTGACTGAAAAGGGATCCCGGTGGGCCCAGGTGGGGTTCGGTAGAATCCGGTGGAGTAGCAGCGAAGCAGAGGCGCCGGGGCAAGCAGAAGCAGTTCTTGTCGAACATGAGCCGTTGGGCTAGTAGCCAGTCGTCCGGGCAAGCACGCCTGGCGGTGTAGTTCATGTACAGTTGCAACTCCGCATCCGAACCGTTACACGTCCGAAACGTCGCCAGTTTCTCCTCATTTGGAGACAATTTCTTTCCACTTTCTCCTCCTCCCCCCCCCCCTTCTCCCCCTCCCCCTCCTCCCCCTCCTCCGTCCCCACCCCCAACCCCGCCTCCCCCAGTTACGATCTGCATTTCAGCTTCCGTCTCTTTCCTAGCAGCACTGGCACATTCTGACGCTAACTCCTGAGCCGCTCCTTCCACCATGGTTAAATTCACCAACGGTCCGCACGTGCCGTTGTGGGACAGCCGAGCGAGCTCAGCCGTCAGATTGCGCTTGTCAATCATCATCGCATCGTACGCCGTCCGTAAATCCGCCAGCTTCCGCTGGAGCTCCGCCACTGCGGGGGAGACCGGCGGCACGGCGCTGGAATCCCCGTCCGCCGCTCCCCCCCCTCCCCCCGAACCCCCCCCTCCTCCTGCGCCATCCGCGGGCGCAACCGCACCCCCCGCGCCCCCCGCTGGCGCGGAAGCGGAGCCGCCTTCCTCGGGGGCGTTACTAGCCAATAGGGAGCGACCTTCCAGCTGCTGCCTCTTACACTGGAATACCTGCTGCTCGCATATGGCAGTCGCATCCACCCCTACATCTGCTGCTGTCTTTAAATCCGACGCCGTTAAGTGCGCTCCGGTGGGGAGCCCTCCGTCGCTCGATAGAACCCTGATGTCTTGTTTCAGCCGTTGGATCTCCTGTTCCAGATCTTGCATCTCCGTGTTTTCCGCGTCGCGACCCGCTACCTGCTCTTTAAGTTGCTCTATAATCTCATGCGGGGACTCTTTACGTGGGGTATTGGCGGGAGAATTAGAGGAATAAGTGGTTGATCGGCCGCCGGCGGTTTCGCGGGCGAGTTCTCTAACGAAGACGAATATAACGAGGATGATGACGACCCCTAAAGCGGCCTGGAGGATCTTTTTAAGGTTCATTGCGAAGATTCGAGAATGACGCGCGACGTCTCGCGAATCCTGGCAAGATAAAAAAAAATTAGGGTTACACGTGAAAAGGGTACCCGGTGAAATAACGATGATCCGCTTGCTATCCCATTAGACTTGGGAAGAGTAGAAACGGTTTGTGAAGTAGTTATGAAAACGGGATCACGAACCGAGGCGACTGCGTTTCAGTTGAGAGACGTCTCACCAACAAATTTAGTAGTAGTTGCTGCTAGAAGTTCGCAGAATAGCAGAAATTGGGAGGTCGGGGGATCAGGAAAGACACCACACCAGACTATACCTAACAGAGCTGGATTTTAGGTTCCGCTCTGAAGGATACATTCCTTCGTTATTGAGTGACTTGCGTTTCGGTACAAGGCGCTCATAGTTGCACTTGGAAATTTCTCCGTATGTAGTTGGATGCGCACTTTTGAGGGCGCATTCAACGGATTGAACAGAGTTCCTAACCGTCGGACGCTTTGCGCTACAGGCTCACATTTGACAAATTTCCGCGATGAGCTTCCTAAGCGACAAGCAAAGTGTCAGCTCATACCCTACTCTTCACAATACTGGGTACGTTCTGTAGTCTGCGTGTTGGATGTTGTTGGAGATCCATTTGTACTGGCAGCAGCCCCCAATGCCGGACCCTCAAACTTGTTGGAAATATGGACTCAAGGAGAGCCTGAGTCGCCAGGAACAGGGTCTTACGTCTACCAAAAGAGTAATTTTTTCTGTATCCGAGCTTTATTGCAGCCAAGCAGCCTTGGCACGGAGCAAACTCAATATCGCGTACACCTGGCATCAGAATCTTTAGCCCCTGACTGACAATTTTAGCGGTTGCTGACATACTTAGGCGATTAGTCCCTTAGCTCTCTCGACGAGCTCGGCTATGGCAGACGATCACATACAGCCGTATAAGTCCCCGGCTCTGGCAGACGATTTATTTGATTCGATCTCGCCTCCCCCACCTACGCGATGCCGTGTAGTTATCGATCCGTCGCTCTTAACGCGGACGCAGCTCTCCCAGGGCCTCAGCCACAGCCTGATCGCGCTGCCACGTGGCATCACCACCGTCAGCCAGCTGGCGAGCCACGTGGTCGAATCGTTTGGGCTGAAGGCTTCGTGCAAAGCGGGAGTGGCCCTACAGGTGCGATACCCTTTCGTTTTAATGAGGCGGCTTATTTTAACGCGTCTGCTTTTATGAAAGCACTAAGAGACCGATGTTGTGTTCTTAAACCTTATTGCGTCAGTGCAAAACGAGCTTTCGAATCACAGCTGAAGGCGAGGGGGAAGGGGGGGGGGAGGGAGAGAGAGGGGGGTAGGGCCAATGCCACGTGGTTGCCACTCCAGAAGACACCAGCTCCACTGCTACGTGTGTCATTCCCTGCTAGGCCACGTGTCAACCCGTAGCATGCCACGTGTGCCACCTCCCTGCTACCTCTTATTCACAGGTGGACGGATTCGTGCTGCCAGCGTGGCAGCCTCTCTCTGTGGTGGGCCGCAATGACGTCATCAGGTGCGGACTTGGTAGCTTTGTGTGACGTGGCCGTCTGTAGCGTTTGTTCTTGATGGCGTCACGTGCGCGCTTAAAGCCCGCGTGCCAAGAAGTTCAACGGTAGGTAGGTTGGATTTTGAGAATTCTCAAGAACCGATTTAAAATCCACGTGCCAAGAAGTTCAACGGTAGGAAGGTTGGTTGGGTAGGAGGACGGGATTGGTTGTCAGGTAGTTCGTTTCTCCTAAGGAACCCCCAACTAACCGAAGGTAGGAAGCTCGAGGCAATTTTGGGACATTTTGCAAGGGGGGTTAAGGTTCAGCTGCAGAGTTTGAGAGGGCTCATTGAGAAAACTTTTAAAGAGTCTTTCATGGGAGTTGATGCCCTTAAAGCGCGGATCTCGAAACCCCCGAACTCAAAAACTTAGGTTTTGACTCGGGGGGCATTTTGGCTGGGGCTCAAAACCTTAGGGTTTGACTTTCGAGGGTTTCGAGATCCTCGATTTAAGCCCTCTCTAAACCCGAAACCCTTTCACAGCTTAAATCCTTATCTTTCGTCTGCCAACCCTAATCGCCCAACTGTCAAGATTTGGAACTTTTTTCAGGCCTTGTTTTGTCACGTGCGCGTCAAATTTTACTTTCCTTCTCTTGTTCCCGCCTTTTCACTCTCCAGGGTATTCCGAATTGAGTGATGTTGATCGTGTTTTGAAACGCCTTAAAACATCAATGTCCACATTCCTTCTCGTCTTCCCACCTTTTGACACACCAGGGTATGCCGAATCAACCGCAAGCTACCGCTTACGCCACACACTGAATCCACTCCTCAGCACCGCACTCCACTGCTCGCGCAGCACCCAGCCTATGCCTCTCCTCAGTTTCATGCCCTTCCCGTTGCGAACTACCCTCCCCCGGATCCCACCTCCCCGTTCCCAGCCCTGGGGTGGGTGGTACCTGGGGGCGGTGAGAAGGCGGTTTCTGGGGGAGGTGAGGACGGGAGAAGTGAGGGAGAAAAGAGGAGTGGTAAGGAAAAGAAGAGAGGAAAGAAGCGGAAGGAGGAGGGAAGGAGGGACGAGGAGGGGAAGGAAACTGCAGTGGAGAAAGATTTTGATTCGACTCAAAATGAGGGGAAGGAAAATGCGGTGGAGAGGGGGGGCAGTGCGGTGGAGAGGGGGGCCAGTGCGGTGGAGAAGAAAAAGAGGAGAAGGGAAGTTAGGGAGAGGTTGGAAGAGCGATTGAGGAGAGAGGGGAGTGGGGAGGAGGAGGGTGCTACGACAAACGAAGCAGAAGATGGAGTGAAGGAAGGTGAAGGGGAGGAGAAAGGGGAGGAGGAGGAGGAGAAAGAGGAGTCGAGTGAGGGAGAAGAGGAGGAATCGAGTGAGGAGGAAAAGGAGGAGTCGAGTGAGGAGGAAGAGGAAGAGTCGAGTGAGGAGGAAGAGGAGGAGTCGAGTGAGGAGGAAGAGGAGGAGTCGAGTGAGGAGGAAGAGGAGGATTCGAGTGAGGAGGAAGAGGAGGAGTCGAGTGAGGAGGAAGAGGAGGAATCTAGTGAGGAGGAAGATTCTAGTGAGGAAGGGGAGTGTAGAGAGGAAGGGGATACCAGAGAGGAGAAAGAAGATGAGTCGAGTGAGGAGGAAGATGAAGCAGGGTTGAAGGCAATGGGAGGGGTGGAGGAGGGGGGGGACAAGGGAAATGTCAAGGGGAAGGAGAAAGGAGAGGCAAAGGGGCATGGAATAGAAGTAAAAGGGAGAACGGGTGAAGCCACGATGAAGCATGAAGCTGCAGGAGTGGCAAAGGGAGCCCATGCTTCCGCCTTGGGAGTGAGAAAGGTGGGTATGGAGAAAGGCCACCCACTTATATGCTCATCTTTCCTGCTCTCATTCTTGAGTCCACTCAAAGTGAAGGCGTGCTAAAGGGTGAAGCTGCAGGAGCAGCAAAGGGAGCCCATGCTGCTGCCTTGGGAGTGAGAAAGGTGGGTTGGGAGTGCATGGCCATCCACTCATAAGCTCAACTTTCCTGCTCTCATTTTTAACTCTACTCAAAGTGAAGTCGGGGTGATGGATGAAGGGTGATGGATGAAGGGTGAAGGGTGAAGCTGCAGGAGTGGCAAAGGGAGCCGATGCTTCCGCCTTGGGAGTAAGAAAGGTGGGTATGGAGAAAGTTTGCTGAGTCCTGACCCACCCATGTGTGCACATTTCCTGCTCCCAGGTGCAGCAAATTCTGCTCACGCTGCCCCTGTTATGCTGCTCCGTTTGTGTACACCTTTTTTGAGGCGCCTCAAAAATAGACTCCTCACGATTGTGTACACCTTTCACGTGTACCACTGTAGCTCCACTGTAGCTCCACTGTAGCTCCGCTGTAGCTTTATAGATACCTCTCTCTTTCCACTGTACTGCGTTAAAAGCATCTACTGTGCAATTCCCCTCCCAACCCCCCGAACCCCTGTCATTAATGCAGGGCCCACACAACCCGGAAGCGGGCGGCGAAGAGGAGATGGCTGGCGAAGCAGAGGCACTTGCCACTCCTCTCCTCTTCCCCCACCCTCCCCAATTCGAAGAGCTCTCTCCTCTGTTCCCCCTCTCCCCCCCCCCCCCCCGCCCCCCCCAGGGCCCTACTCGCAACACGATACGAAAGAGGGCGAAGAGGAGATGGCTGGCGAAGCAGAGGCAAGCTGCCAAGGTGAGAGGCTCCCGGTTGACAGCGGTAGATGGTGCGAGGGTGGAGAGGTGAGAGGGTGGAGAGGTGAGAGGGCATCCAGCATGAGTCACTGATATGCGTTGTACCCACTGGAATCCTTCTGCACCACCCTGAACCTCTCCGTTTGCCCACAGGATGCTTAGGACATGCAGCTAATGCCAGCAGCAGGCACGGGCAGGGGCATGGGCACGGGGACAGATGGCAAGCAGCAACTCGCTCTTGTACATTGTAACCGTTTTTTACCGCACTGCATTCCCCTCAACTTCCCTACAGGATGCGCTGTACATGCAGCTGATGTCAGCAGCAGGCACGGGCACGGGCACGAGCACGGGGATATATGGGCAGCAGCAATTCATCCTTGTGGCAAAGAGGGTGGATATTTGTTTTCTGTTTTTTTTTTTTTTTTTTGGCATCGTAATCACTGGAACTATTCTCTACTGCACTCCTTTTCCCCTCCATCCTCTCCCCCCACAGGATGCGCTCTACATGCAGCTGATGTCAGCAGCAGCAGCAGGCACGGGCACGAACACGGGGACAGATGGCAAGCAGCAATTCGTGCTTGTTCCGAAGATGGTGGAGTCTGACGTGGCACAACTTGATTCGCTGGCAGCAGATGGTGAAGCAGCGACAGCAGGTGCAGCAGCAGGGGGGGCATCGAAAGGGGAGCAACGAGGGGACACTTCTAGGGAGATGTGTTTTGAGTCGACTCAAAATACTACTAGGGAGAAGGGGGTGGGTGGGGTGCGGAGAGTGGAGCTGAGGAAGGGTCACGTGAAATTCAGGGGGGGGATGAAGGCGAGGAGGAGGAGGAGGAGCAAAGTATGAACGCCCGACCGTTGGTGAGTTGTTAGCCATGATAGAAGGGAGCAGCAGTGTAATCAAAGACAGCAGGAGGAGCAAAGTATGAACGCCCGACCGTTGGTGAGTAAGAAAGGGGAGAAGCGAGGGGATAGAAGGGAGAAGGGAGTGGGTGGGGTGCGGGGAGTGCTGAGGAAGGGGCACGTGATATTCAGGACGGGGGATGAAGGCAAGCAGGAGGGGGAGGAGGACGAGCAAGCGAAGAACGCACGACCGTGGGTGAGTGTGAACGAGGAGCAGCGAGGCGATGGAAGGGAGGAGGGGGTGGGTGGGATAGAAGGGAGACTGGGGTGGGTGGGCTAGAAGGGAGGAGGGGGGGAGCAGGTTGCTTAAATTGGATCCGAGAAAGGGGCACGTGAAATTCGGAGGGGAGGATGAATGAAGGAGAGGAGGAAGAGGAGGAGTAGGAGGAGAGGGGCCGAGCTAGGAATGCATACCGTTTGTTCTTCAACTCACCAAAGGCCAGGAACGCACAGCCTTGGGTGAGTCGAAGAGCAAACGGTATTCGGTAAGGGGAGATCAGCCCCAGAACTTGGTTCACTAAAGCCCAAAACACCCGGTATGTTGTTTCAGTGTGTCCATTTACACCCGGTATGTTGTTTCAGTGTGTCCATTTACACCCGGTATGTTGTTTCAGTGTGTCCATTTCTTGCTGCTCGCTTGCTTCGCGGCTCGTGCTCTGCTTGTCCAGGCATGTGCTCTGCTTGTCCAGGCATGTGCTCTGCTTGTCCAGGCATGTGCTCTGCTTGTCCAGGCATGTGCTCTGCTTGTCCAGGCATGTGCTCTGCTTGTCCATGCATGTGCTTTTACCCTAACTTCTCGTCTCCCCCCCCCTCCTCCCCCTCACTCCCTCCCTCCTCCTTCCTTCCTTCCTTCCTTACTGGCACAGAACGTGTGCACACATACTTGGGTGCAGTGAAGAACAAGAGAAGGGGGCAGGCGTGGGGCCAGCAGCAGCAGCACCGCAACCTGTGCTTTGTTGCTCAATTTCTCTTCTCTTCTTTTACCTCCTCCCCACCCGCAGCCCATAATCAACATGGGTGCAGTGAAGAACAATAGAAAGGGGCAGGCGTGGGGCCAGCAGCCACAACACAGTCTGGAAGGGAGGTTGTTCAGAAGGATTTCTCCTGCTTTCCCTTACCTGGTTTGCCCCCCCCCCAACCTCCGCCCTCCACCACCCCACCCACAGCCCGTAATCAACATGGGTGCAGTGAAGAACAAGAGAAGGGGGCAGGCGTGGGGGCAGCAGCAGCAGCACAGTCTGGAAGGGCGGCTGCTCAGAGGGAGAGGAGGTGGACAGAGAGAGGGGGGCTTCGCGGCATCTGAAAATCACCAACAGCAGCAGCGGCAGCAACAGATGCAGCAGCAGACGCATATCAGTAGAGAGGGTTTGGACCGCGGGTCAGTTAAAGGGAGGAGTGAGGATGGGCAACCAGAGACAGGGGAATGGCGTTGGGGGAAAAGTGAGAGTGTTGGAGAAGGGAAGGTGAGGGGGAGAGGGAAAGATGGAGGGAGAGGGAGAGGGAGAGGAAGGGGGAGGGGGGATGAGGGAGAGGAGCGAGGAGGAATGCACTGGCGAGATGGAACGAGGAGGAAGCAGATGGAGGAGGGGAGGGAAGGGCACTTGCAGCAGGAGCAGCATCAGCATGAGCAGCAGCAGCAGGAGCCGCAGCATCAGCAAGAGGAGGAGCAGCAGTGCCAGAACAAGCTTGAATTATTGCTGCCATTGGAGGGCGCACCTCAGGTGATGTTTCAAAGGGGTCTTCCTTGAATCTGCTCTGATGCACCAGGGGGCTTGATGTTACCAGGGGGGATTGTTACAGGGAAGGCTCGCATGCTGTTGCAGGGTGTTGCAGAGAATTCTCAAAAGCACCCTGCAAAATCAAGGCTCGCATGCCAGCTCTTTTGTGTTCCCTGTAAGGCAAACTGCCGCTCTTCACTCCCTGCCTCCCCCATCCCCACTCCCATGTCAGTTGACTTTCCTTCAGAAGGCATCCCCTTCTTATTCCCAGTCCCCCCCATCCCCACTCCCATCCCATGTCAGCCTGGAGACGTCATCGCATATCGCATCACCACACTGTCGCATGCCACATCCGTTGTGATCCCTTAGATGTCAATCGCCCCTCTTCGCTTGCTCTCTCACCTTCTCTCTTCTCCCTCTCAGCCTGGAGACACTGTCAACTTATCGTCTTTTGAGGCGCCTAAAAAATCGTCTTTCGAGGCGCCTAAAAAATCGCTCCCTCTCTCACCTTCTCTCTCCTGCCTCTCAGCCTGGTGACGCTGTCAACGTATCGTCTTTGGCATCATCACACTGTCTCGCCTTACCTCCCTTCACTCGAATTCCATTCTCCCCTTTTACCTCCTCTGCCGTTTCCCTCTCAGCCTGGGGACGTCATTGCCTACCGCATCATCACACTGTCGCATGTCACTTGGACGCCTGAGCCTTCCCCGTTTCGGGTACGCCTCCCTCTCTCCGCCATTCTCTGCTTAACTTGCTTCACGAAGTCTCTAAACTCTTAGCGTTTCATTTACTTGATTCCCCCACTACCAGCCCCCCCCCGCCCCCTTTCACCCCCTCCCTCTCCATCTCCCTCTCCCTCTCCCCTGGTCAACAGCAAGGCGAAGTGCTCACTTTGGACCCCTCTTCATCTCTCATCCACCTGGTCGCACGTGGGCTCTGATGCACTCCTTTCGGTGCCCCCCTCCCCCCAACCCCACCCCTCCACCCACCCCTCCTCCCACCCAACCCCTCCCTCCCCGAAACAGCAAGGCCCAGTGCTCACTTTCGATCCCTCTTCAGTCTTCATCTCTCTCCACCTGGTCGCATGTCGGCTCTGATGCACTCCCTTCGGTGCCCCCCTCCCCCCCACCCCCACCCCTCCCCCCACTCCCACTCCTCCACCCACCCCTCCTCCCACCCCCTCCTTCCCCCAAACAGCAAGGCCCAGTGCCGTCTTTCAACCCCTCTCTTCATCTCTCGTCCACCTTCCACCTGTGCCTCTGACTGTACTCCCCTCCATAACCCCCTCCCCCCATTTCCCCCCTCCATCAACAAAAGCAGTCCCCCCCTCCCTCCCCCTCCCCCCCCCTCCCCCACTCCCACACACACACAACAGCAAGGCCGAGTGGTCACTTTCGACCCCTCTTCGTCACACATCCACCTGGCACCTGTGGGGTCTGGTGCGACAGCTGGCGGCCTCTCATTGGCTGAGGGGGAGGGAGACGAGGATGAGATGGAGTTTGAAGCTCCTTATGACGAGTCTGGGCAGCTTAAGGTGAGTCCACAACAGCCACCCTTGAGTGATAAGGGCAAGAGCTGTGAGGGTGTGTGGAGGGGGAGAGTGTACTGTAATCCCCCAGATATACGCATTCCGGGTTATTTAGACCTATGGGACCTATAGCTGCAAGTGGGGCTTGTATCCATAATTCGATTAAACGCCCCCCCTGGTTTTGTGAGAAGTATATCGTATACGCACCCCCCCTTTTCCATTTGAAAACGCTGCGCAGAAGCAAAAAGCGAGTGCATTCTATGACGAATTCCTCTGCAATAACATGTTTCCCACTGGAATGTTGACTCGCATAGGATTGCCGAGGATTTACTCCCCTCCGCTCTCACACGGCTCTCTCACAACAGTAGCGTCCCTACTCTACTGTAGCCAACAGCGGACCAAGCACTTGCTTGGGAACTTGTCAGAATCTCGGCTCTGAATGGCCTGATTCAATCTGGCACTGCGGGCCGAGCCTTGACTCGCGATTTTGGACAAATCCTCCTGAATTCCCCACTTGACAGAAGATTGCATGAGCTACATTTTGATGTGAGAAAATACATTTCTGTATAGTAAATTTAAAACGCCCATGGGCTTATAAATTTTATTCGAATAAACACCCCCCCACAATTTTGGAGGTATATCCTAGAAGCCCCTAATGGCGTATATCCGGGGGATTATGGATGTGTGAGAATGTGTACGGATGACAAGGGCAAGAGGAACTCAAGTTAGTATGTGTGTCTCCTCTCTCTCCCCTCCTCCAAATCCCCCCTCCATCCTCTCGCCCCTCCCCTCTCTCCCCCCTCTTTCCCTGTACTCAAACAGGCGGAGCTATCCTCTCTTCTAGATCTGCGCCTCGTGTCACGAACCGACACAAGCCAAACTCCTGAAGCCATCACTCCACCGACCGCGGCCCAAACTACCTCTCTACTCCCGACTCCTGCTGCCGCCATTCCACCTTCAAAACCCTCGGGTGTTGAGTCAATGGTTGCATTAGTCCCTTGTGCTCCTCCCCCTTCCTCCAACGCTCCCACAACTGCTCTCAACTCTGCAAACCTCCACGCTCCTGCCGATGATTCTTCCACTCCTAACGCCAGCGCTGCCACTCCTGCTGCTGCTGTCGCCAGTACTGCTGCTCCTGCTGCCCCTGCTGCCACTCCTGCCGCTCCTGCCGCTCCTGCTGCTCCTGCCACTCGTGCCACTCCTGCCACTGCTACCACGACGACCTCATCCCTCCCACCTCCTTCCCCTGTGTCTGCTGCAGCGGCGTCGCGACATGTGGCTATTGCTGCCGCTCCTGCAGGAGCGGCAGCATCGAGGTGGAAGCAGTGGGAGAGCGTGGCTAGGATGCTGGAGGAGAGGAGGAGAGCGCTGATGGGGGAACAGACTGGGATGCAGCAGGATAGCCATCTGAGTGATGTGGAGGTTGAAGATCAGCCGCAGCGGGTGCAGCAACAGAAGCAACAGCCGCAGGAGAAGCAACAGCAGCAGCAGCAGCAGAGGCAGCCGCAGCAGCAGCAAAAGCAGCAGGAGGAGGATGGTCTGGGTGAAGGTGGGGAACCAGTAGCTGAGTGCATAACCACCCACACCCCTCGCACCCCTGCCCAACTTGTAACCAGCCCAGCTCCAGTTGTAACCAGCCCTGCTCCAGATGTTACAGGCACAGCAGCCACAGATGCACCCAGCTCTGCCCCTGTGGGGGGAACCAAAGGCCAGGGCAAGACATCAGGTGGGGTTGCTAGTGGTGGCAAGACATCAGGTGGGATTGCTAGCGATGGCAAGACATCAGGTGGGGTTGCTAGCGGTGGCAAGACTATGAGGTACAGAGGGAGGAAGGCAGCAGGTTTGGCAGCGACACTTGCTCTGATGAGACAGGGAGGGGGGATGTAAGGCGGGGAGGAGCTCAAGGGCCTATTGAATGCCGCAATTGCAGGCAAGGTGAGGGATGTGAATGCTAGCGGTGGCAAGACTATGAAGTACAGAGGGAGGAAGGCAGCAGGTTTGGCAGCGACACTTGCTCTGATGAGACAGGGAGGGGGGATGTAAGGCGGGGAGGAGCTCAAGGGCCTATTGAATACCGCAATTGCAGGCAAGGTGAGGGATGTGAATGCTAGCGGTGGCAAGACTATGAGGTACAGAGGGAGGAAAGCAGCAGGGTTGGCAGCGACACTTGCTCTGATGAGGCAGGGAGGGGGGACGTAAGGCGGGAGCTCCATGGCCCTTGGAATACCGCAAGGAAGCCCAGGCAAGGCACCGGGTGGGGTTGCTAGTGGAAGGAAGACCATGAGGTACAGAGGGAGGAAGGCAGCAGGGTTGGCAGCAACACTTGCTCTGATGAGGGAGGGAGGGGGGACGTAAGGCGGGAAGTAAGTAGCTCTAGGGCCTAGTGAATACCGAATGCAGGGGCTTTAGGTATGATTCGGCTCCAACTGGTCTCGTCTGGCGGCTTCGATCAGGCGAGGAGAGATCGAATGAAAGCAATTTCTGTGACAAGGATGGTTTGAGGTTGAAGGCGTCTCATTTTTTGTCCGAAACCATAGAGGTGATTATCATCAATGGCAAGTTGAAATGAAACGCCATGACATGATGGTGCGTGTGAGTGACGGATCAGATCAGAACTTCAGTTCAGACATGGCTGTCATAACAATCATGCAGTTAATGCATTACCTGTACCAGACCATGGCTTGACCCACAGTACAAGCAGTTGATTTCCATAGGTGAATATTCCAGCGGTACATGCAATGCAAGTCAACCCCAACTTCTGCATCAGACGTGCCTTAATCCAATTCAAAGGACACTCACACACGCGCACAAATTAGCATGATGCAGCAGCAGCAGACACAACGAAACAGCACAAACTAGCACCGAATGCAGTGCTGCCATATTACAGACATGACCGCACCAGGCTTGAGCACCGAGAGGGATTGCAATATTCTAATCCAAATCTGGTGCAAAAAATCCCCATTGGTTCGTCTAAAACCGCTCCAAGCTGCCTCAAGTCACTAGAGTGCCTATCTGGTGTCCACAGTCCAACCAATGCCCCTTCAAGTTTAAAATGAGAACCTCTCAGGCGTCCTGCAATGAAAACAAGGCCACGAGATGAGAGGGCTCAGCTCAGCAACTTGGCTACGGTATGCATACAGGCTGTAAGAAAAGCCCGACACGGCATTAATTCATGCTGGGTTATGAAACAAACAGGAGACTTGAATTGAAACAAACACAAAACTTGAAACAAACAACTCCACGCACTTGCCAAACCCAGAATGCCCACCATTCGTTCACTTCCCCCCAGCATGCCTCCAACTCTTGATGCTTAAGTCGACTCCGAAGAAGTCTGCTCAACTGTATTACACACAGAAACGGCCCGACTTCTGAGTCGACTCAGAAGGCAACTGAATGCCATAAACCATTCCAGCCCATGCTCAACCATTTCACACCCAGAATTCTGTTGAAAGCCCTCGACATACACTCACCAACAGTCCGCGATACCTCATTCTTTCCTGCAAATTTCTCAAGTCATCCAGCAGAAGAGCACCACCCTTTATCAGCAATGCCATCATGCCATGCCATGCCATGCCATGCCATGCCATGCCATGCAATGCCATACCGTCATGCCATGCATGTCAAACCCTAGAGTGCCCTCTCACCTACTGATCACAGCAGCAGGCACCACATCGTCTCGCTGCTCACTTCCTCTTCGAATGCAAACACCAGACGCCGCCCTCTCACCTCCCTTCGTTTATAACCTCACTTCTTGCCATGCATTTCAAACCCTAGATGCATTCCCCTCTCACCAGCTGATCATAGCAGCAGGCGCCACGTCATCGCTGCTCACTTCCTCCTCGAATGCAAACACCAGATGCCGCCCTCTCACCTCCCTTCTCATCTCATCTCAAACCTTCCCTCTTGCCATGCATGCCAGTCAAACCCTAAATGCATTGCCATCTCACCGGCTGATAACAGCAGCAGGAGCCACATCATCGCTGCTCACTTCCTCCTCGAAGTCAAACACCAGATGCCGCCCCTTCACCTCCTCCCTCACTTCATCCAGCCCCTTGATGCCACCCGTGTCAAACCCTAGAATCATCTCCCGCAAACACTCCACCCTATCTACCATTCTCTCCTCTCCCCCGTCCCCTTTCCGCTCCCCTTTCCGTTCCCCTTCCCGCTCCCCTTCCCGTTCCTCCATTGACACTCTTTCTGTTCCACTTTCCGCGTCTACATCTCCTTCTCCTTCTCCACTTCGTCTCCCCGCTCCCCCACCTTGTTGTACCAATTTCTCTAGACTGTTTGATGCCCCCTCGCTCTTCCCAGACTCAGTAGTGCTGTCTGCTTTACCAGCTGCAAGAACGTGCCTCCCTACTACCAAGGCCACGTTGCCCTTCGCGTCTGCCTGGTCGTGTGAAACCCTAGGATCCTCTCTACGAGGAAGCTCTTTCCCGCCATTCGAAACATCAGTTTCGGATCTCCCTCCTCCGCTTACTCCTTCTCCCCCTCCCCCGCTTGCTCCTTCTCCCCCTCCCCCGCTTGCTCCTTCTCCCCCTCCCCCGCTTGCTCCTTCTCCCCCTCCCCCAACTTCTCCCTGCAACTCTCGCCTTTCCGCGACTTGTCCCCATTCCCATCCTTTCCCCCCTCCCCCATCCCCACCATCCTGCTGCCCCACCGCCAAAAGCCGCCTCTTACTCCCAGCGCTCAAATCTCCGTCCAGCCCCCCCTCCGCACCATGAGTGCCGCTTTCACTATCTCTATCGCTATCTCTATGGTTATTAATATGACCATGGCTATCACTATCACTATGTGCCCCGCGTCGCTTGACCCTCCTCGTCGTTCGCACCTCGATCGGCCAGTCCACCTCACCATCCATATCAGTGCGCCGCCTTATCCGCTTTATAGACCGCACGTCTATAGGCACATCCTGAATGTCCTCGTCGTCCGTCGCCGGATGCCATATCCGCGACCGCTCTGAGTGCCCGTCCCCGATACTAGCCTTCATCCGTCTCCGTTTAGTGTTATCCACTACAGCAACGTCCTGCTGCGCGTATTCCTCGAGCTCATCCCCGCCTACCGATAGCCGGTCCCCCAAGTCCCCTCCCACGGCTGCACGCACAACATGCCTGGAACCCCCCCCTCCGTTATCAATCCCGCCGTAATCCCTGCCTCCCCTGCCGATCGTGATCTGGCTGTCGTAACCCGTTTCTTTCGCCGCTGCTGCTTTCGCCGCTGCCGCTTCTTTCGCCTTCTGTCGTCCCGCCATCGATTCCTCCCACCAGTCCCCCTTCTGCGCCTGAGCGCGTTGGTCGGGGTTAGAAGCTTCGACCCGCGCTTTCTGAATGTTCCAGCGAGCCGCTTGCCACGTCAGCCCCACGGCGATCCACATCAGAGCGACGAGGATGACCAATGCGCGGTCGATGACGGTCCGCGGGGCCCGCTGCGGGCCGCGCATCATCATACGGTTGTCCTTGATTCCCATTTTGACGGTGGAGATTAAATAAAGGACGGAAGTCGAAGTGTGGATGACCCAGGGTCCTAGGGGATCCGCGGGAAATGAGCTACGAAGGATGCGGGAATCGGAAAAAAAAAGGAGAAAAAACCCAGGAGAACGGCAACCGCGACCTATTTAATTCGGAGCCGCGGCTTCGAGAACTAAAACAGGAGAACTACAGGAGATACGGAGCGCAGGCATGCTGCTGATTGGCTGCTGCTGCTCGGCCGTGAAACCCGCCGCGAAGCACCACCAGGATCATCCGCATCCTTTAACATCGTCGATTACGATAGCGACTACTAAGCTCGCGATACGCGGTAACCGATAAGCGATGAGCGATAGGCGATGAGCGAACAAAATGGCCGTTGGCCAGGAGCAAGAGCTTGGCTGCCCGAAAGCAACTGGGAGCACAGCAATGAGAAGGAGAGAAGAAGATGGCGAGCGACGGAAGATGCCAAGAAACTAGGATGCTACTGTTGCCTAGAGCTGCAGGAGTTGGCTGGAAAGCAGGCAATGATTGACACACCAACTGCAACCATGCAAGGAAATGTGAGCCGAGCAGCAGGAATGGCTGCCTCGGGATTTGAGGTGATGAAGAGGAGGCGGGAGGAGGGAAGAAGAGGAGTTTGGTGAGGGGAGGAAGGAGGTTGGTGACGACAAATTTCACTAGCGCGTATGAAGTGTTGTAACAAACCAAATGCTGCACAGGAAACCTAAGTCTGCTATAATTTGCTGAGAGTGACCAGTCCCGTTCCCCCACAAATACATCATCGGTCCACGTCTACTCTTTCTGCACGCGCGCTACTGGGCCCCTCCAGTTAGACTCCAGCTTGTAAGCGGTATCCTTTGGGCATGTCCTTAAGCTGACACAGGCCACGCCCGCAAGGCACCCTTACTCATCACTGACATCATGGATCGTACAGGTAGGTCGTACGACGCTCGCTCTCTTGTCTCTTTGTGTCCGTCCGTCTGTCGCGGAGTGGATCTGTCTGTAGGTCTCTCTACCGGCCTGTCCTTCCGTCGTCCTTTCCGTGTGACGCTTGTGGGGATTTGGGTATTTTGAGAACCAGAAGCGTGTATGTATGCATGTCGAAGGACTCTTGCGCCGTTTTACAGTAGCGATTCCATTCCACAACGCTTGGTTGTGTGAACCCTGTTGCCATTCAACTGAGCAATCGTCAAACTCGATACCGTTTCCTTCTCTCCTCGATCGCTGCAGCGGCGTCGAAGCAACGGCTGTCTGCCAAGCAACAGAAGCAGCCTCAACCTGCTGAGCAACAAAGCCCCCCTGCGCCACTGTTTTCTGGGCCGAATCTTCAGAAGAACCTCGTCGCTGTAAACCACAGGTGCAGTACCTCGAAAGCGCATGTTATCGCAGTGCTCTCCTCCTATTTTCCCTTGAATTCTACCCCGCTCTGACCATCACATCGTGTTATCTTCCCTCTTTGTCCCATGCTTCCCCCATCTTCCCCCCCTCCAGTCGCACATACCTTGCGATTATAGCAGGTGTGGTGGCTGGTATTTTAGGTCTGACAGGAATTTCGGGTTTTCTTTGCTACGTCTTTATTATGGCCCTAGGGGCTGTCGCCCTTTTTATCAAGACTGGGCTTCACATAAACAAGTACTTCGACACCTGGCAACGAATTGGTGGAATGGATGGCCTCACGCATGGTGCCATGGTGAGTTTTGTGATCCGTTAGAGCAGTTTGCTCGTCGACGAGGAGATGCTGTCGTTCAGTTTCGGTGCTGAATTTGTAAAGATCCAAAATACTGGATTTGCTCTTCGTCCGGCACTCCTACTTTCCTTCTTTTCGTCTTTCAGCTAATACCCCTTCCTCCCCTCTCCACCATCCCTTCTCTTCATTTTCATGGTGCCAACATGTTAACTCCTGCGTGCTGTAACTGGTTGAAATGCGGCAGTCTTTTGTTCTCTTCTGGACGTAAGTTCCTTCAGTGATCACTCGTTTCAGGCTTCTTTGCAACCAGTTGCAAATTCTTGGTGACATAATTTTGACTTTTTTTGGTCAACTTTTGCAGGCTTGCCTATGATTTCGTTCATCTTTTTTAAACGCCACCTTGATCATTCTCAATGTACAACTGGAGGCACGAATGTGCCGTCGATCATGATGAGATTGTATATGCTGTTCCTTTCTATGCTAAATAAAAAGTCCCGGTCAAGCACTGCAGCTTCTGTATGGTGTCAATGTCAACCAATTGTCAGATGGAGACGCTTATGTAGGCACCAGAATGTCATCAACGACCTCTGATGACCCGCTGAAGAGGAACAAGGTCGCTGGAAGGAGCACAAGAAGACACACCATCACGCCAATCAGGTACAACCTGACATGGTTGGCTGGTTTGGATTTGGTACCGGTATATGGTGTCTGGAGTAGCTTGTTCAAAGCCTTCACCAGAAGCCTCAGCTTCTCTGCTGATCGATCAGCCAACTGGAACTCTCCACACAGTGCATGGTAGAGTTCAGCTGACTTGTCAGGGTGACATACTGTCGCCTCTTCAACTCTCTGAAGAAAGGCGAGCACAGTATTCTTTGTGGTAAGATTGCTGCTGGACTTGACTTCTGAACCTTCAACCACCTGAGAAGGGACAGGACTGTTATGTGCCATTCCACGGTCTGAGATTAGAGCTGGAATGTCTCTCACGCCTGCCTGAATGTCATTCGTTGATTTGACTTCTTCTGGATGGCTGAGTTGTAGTTGTGAAGCTGCTGGCGCCGAGTCTGACAGGGGAACAGCAGGATGCTCGACCGTGCCTTTCACAACTTCTGTAATGCAGTCCTTATTGATCGCTTTCTCGAAAGAGATGATTGGTAGTGCTTCCTTCACCTGTGTCATTCCACTTCAGTTGGCTGCTAATGGCAACGACGAAAACAATGCGACAGCACAAACGGAGCGATAAACACAAACCTTGTCAGGAACTAACCCGTCCCTTTCACTACGCGCAGCTGCAAGAATCTTTGCAACGTTGACACTTTTTGGAGTTGAAGTAGCTTTCGTTGAATTCGTCTGTCCTTTCAATTTAGGTGTCTGCGGGACCCTGCTACTCCTGTCAGGCTCAATACCACTGCGTCGAGTAGCAGGGAACAATTCTGCGCTAAGGCCCATGGCAACTGCAGATGCCGTCAGATTGGTGAAATTTGAGAGGCCAGCCGTGCTTGGCGGGAGGTCTGAAGGTTGTGACATAAATAGTTCAGGAGAACGCTGCATGCGTCGCAAAAAGCTGGCGAAATGCAAGATGACGCTGGAGGTAGTTTGGTTGGGTGACTGGACGCGTTTAGGGGTCCGTCGTTACAGCGTACAAACTTGGTGGTCGTCCAGCTCAGCAAGAAATTCCTTCTTTACATAGGAGAAATCTGATATTCTATTATCCTACATTATATGATTCCCGTTATAAAAAAACATCCTGCATTCTGGATAATGACCATCAACTCTCCTCTTGGCGGTAATCTGTGTTGAGTGGTTGAGAGTTTCACAATAGCTAGTGCTGGTTGCCTTCAGTGCTGATGTATTGGATGGCCAGGCCTGTATCTAGAACAATTTTTGCACTTCCATTTCCTTAGGACTCCAGCCAACATACCTGTCAGACAATTGGGAACATATTCTACCATGGAAGCGCTATTTGCGGCGTATACGAGCGACGAAGATGAGGAACTTGACGTGCGACTGGACGGAGACAAGGAGCCGGAAGACGGGTCTCTTGGGAAGACCAGAAGAAAAGAGGCAGAAGACGGAGATAGACAAGAACAGGAGAAGAATAATATCGCGAATAAGGCGGAGGGGTATGCTTTGTCTAAAAAGAGACGGGTTGACCTGGAAGACGCGAAGAGCGGAGAAGCGAGAGGAGAGGAAGAGAGGAGAGAAGGCGAAGAGAGGAGAGGCGGTGAATACACAGCGGCCGAGATGAGCGGAAATGGCGGTGTTCCTGGAGCGCTGGAGACGGATAACAGTTTCGTCGAAGACAGACGGAACTCGTCAGCGGAAATGAGCGAAAGACAGAATTCGTTAAGCAGGATTCACGACCGACTGATTAAGTCAGCCAAGATCAGCGGCAAACAGGGAACGAAAACGACAGACAGACAGATGAGGACAGGGGATCAGATTCGAAGAGTTCCATCAGCAGCAGCAGCAACAGCAGCAGCAGCATCCGCAGTACCAGCAGCGGCAGCAGCAGTGTCGCTTCCACCTCCCCCAGACGACCTCTTTGCTGATGCTCAAGGTTGGACTCGTCCGTGCTTCCACGGTTGGGCTGATCCCTGTTGTCCAGCTGACTTAGGCGTGTCAGCTTGGCGCTCTGATCACATCTCTGTCGTCTCCTCGGTCCAGTCAGCCCTTTTTTCCACACACATCCTCCTCTCATCCCCCCTCCCCCCTCCTCCCCCCCCAATCCTTTCCTTGCTCGTTCTCTACGCAAATGACACACGAAAGGCAAAGGGCAAGCCTGTTCTCCCAAGTTGAAGGATTCCTCCCATTCTCCCATTTTCCGCACACTCTTTCCTTATGCAGTTGACACGGCAAACGTGAAGGCCAAGCCTGACTATGGAGGGAGAGTGCGGACATTCCCCCACGTTGAAGGCAACTTCGCCGTTCATGTGCTCATTCCAGGTGAGATATTCCCTTTTCCCCAAGCATCTACAAGTCCTTCCACTTTTTTTCACCCGTCGCATCCCCTACAGTCACCATCCTCAATTGTTCTTATTAGTCACCATTCCCTACAGTCACAAGTTTCACCACTCCCCACCCTTGCCCATCTTATTTTCTGCAGTCACCATTCCTGCATCTCTCTAGCCACTACTAGAGTCGCACCTCCTCTCCGCCATCACTGCTCTCCCCACGCTAATTCCCTGCCTTTGCCCACCATGTTCAACCCTTCTCCACTCCTTTTCACCCCATCTCCCCTGCAGTCACCATTGCCGCGTCTCTCCAGCCTCTGCTGGAATCACACCTCCTTTCCGCCATGAGGGCTCTCCCTGCACTGTCACCCGTGGATCCAGATTCCCTCAAAGCCGCTCCAAAACAGTTTGCTGGGGCAGTTCTGAGAACACCGTTGAGGACTGCTTTGGGGGCAGGTGCTGTCGATTCGCTTGGGGGAAGATTCATTCCAGCAGCTGCTCCACTGGTAGATGACAGGGTGTTCGGTGGATCACCTGCTGCTGCTGGCAGCGATGCTTTTGACGGTGCTGGTGGTGGTTGTGGTAGTGGTGGCAGTGCTGCGGTTGCTGCTGCTGCTGTGCACGGGCTGGTGACGGGGGAAATGCATCTGACCGCTGCCCGCACTGTCCCCATCCGCTTCCATCAGATTGACTCCCTGCTCAGCCTGCTTCGCCTCCGACTCAAGCCGCTCAAGCGGTGAGAAAGGGGGATTTTGTAAGGTGCTTTTCAGGTATCCTGCTAAGACCACCTGCTACTTGCCTTAAACCCTAAACCCTAAACCAGATTGACTCACTGCTCAGCCTGCTGCGAATCCCACTGAAGCCTTTCAAGCGGTGAGAAGAGGGCGGGCTGCTTTGCACAAGTTCTTTAGTCGGAGTGCCCGCTTCCCGTTGCCTCTTTCCATCTTCCCTCCCTTCCCGTATCTCCCCAGCTTTACCAGCCCCCCCCCCCCCTCCCGCAACCCCTCCCCCTCCCCCCCCTCCCCCTCCTCTTCCCCTTTCACTCCCCTCTTCCTCCCATCCCCCCTCTCTCCTTCCCCTACACCAGCTACTGTTGGCATTTTGGACACGTGGATCACATTTCTTAAGTTGATTTACAAAGCAGCACTGGGCGTCCCCCCCTTCCTCTCTTCTCCTTCCTCCCTACTCGACCCCGCCACCAGCTTCTGCTTGCACTTGGACAAGTGGACGGCATTTGTTAACGATGAGAGGACGCACTCCTTCCTTGCGCTTGAAGCAAGACTTCTCTGCCTTCCATCCTCTCTTCTCCTTCCCCCCTACTCGACCCTGCCACCAGCTTCTGCTTGCACTTGGACAAGTGGACGGCATTTGTTAACGATGAGAGGACGCGCTCCTTTCTTGCACTCGAAGCAACACGAGAGGGAGTGCCCGAGGTATTTTGAGATATTTGAGACCCTTCTTTTCATGCTTGTTTCGGTCGTTCTGATTTTGATGCCAAATTCCAAACTTTACCATCCCTCTGTTCAAACGCTCGCCACTTCCTGTAACCAGGCCCTTCTCCTGTTCTGCCCTTCTCCTGCAACCTGGCCCTTCTCCTGTAACCCGGCCCTTCTCCCGTTCTTCCCTTCTCCTGTTCTGCCCTTCTCCCGTTCTTCCCTTCTCCTGTTCTGCCCTACTCCCGTTCTGCCCTTCTCCCGTTCTGCTCTTCTCCCATTCTGCCCTTCTCCTGTTCTGCCCTTCTCCTGTTCTGCCCTTCTCCCGTTCTGCCCTGCAACACATCCATCTCAATCATTCCTCTCCTCACCATCCCCTCTCTCTCTCTCCCACTACTCACCCTCCCGCTCGCCCCAGTTTGTCTCCATGGTTGAGTGTATAGACCAGGCCTATGCCGTCCACAATCTTCCTCCGTACTATGATGTAGGTTACCACTCCAGCCCATAACCCCCTTTATGTTGTCGCGAATATGTTCCCTTATTGCTCGCAAAACTTCTCAATGCATCCAACTTCCCACCTTCCTCTGCTGTTCCCTGTACCCCCCCCCACCATCCATCTCCCCCCACTCTCTCTATGCCTCCCTCTCACACACACCTCCCCCTTTCTCACCTTCCACCAACCCACGTGTACACTGGTCTCACCTCTGCACCTACCTATGCTGCGTACATACAAACGTCTTGAATTTCAGAACCCTCGCCCTCACGTCTCCCTGCTCTGGGTTGCTGGTAACCACCTCGAGCGATTACTCTCCATAGCACAAACCTTGCAAATGTCTAATTTGAAGAACGCTCCTGCTCTTTGTATTCGGGTGAATGTACGCAAGGTTATCTGTAGGGTGGGGCAAAAAGTGCACACAGTTTGGGAAGACAATCGTAGAGCACTGCTGTAGGTAGGAAGTGACATTTTGTCATTTGACTTTGTAATGTAACGCATGGTGGATACGAAATATCGCACCCAAGGACATTAAATCGTTTCTACGCTGTACACTACCGGGTAGCCTTGTAACGTATTGTTTTCCGTCTCTGTTGGATGGACGCTACTGCTTAGTTGCCAAGACGCCGCCACCAGCGCTGCTTTCTATCCGGCACTGCGGTCTCCTCAAGTGGTCTCGTTCAACGTCCTGATCCGATGTGGCGCCCTTTGATTCGCGCCGCCAGGCTTCGCCCTTCCGCGGCGCGAGCCGACGGTCGAGTGAACGACGGCCGGCTAGCATCCCTGACAGGCAGTTTCCTCCTCCTGGACGCCGAGAAGCTAACGGACAGCCGTCATTGTTGCAATTCGCCATTGCTTTCGCAGCAGCACGACTCACGCGGCGACGTTGTTGGACGATCGTTGAATGGGGAGAGACCTATACCTCGGGAAGATCTTAAGGTTCTAGATCCAACTTTAAAGACCTATGGCCAGCCGAATCCAGTGTCTCCTACCCTCTTCGAGTCCCGATCGCTCAGACATCAGTTTTTTCGCACATCAGCGGCTCTTGGGTGCTCGCAGGGGCACGTGGCAGTCGCGGATTGGTCGAGGCGATTCAGTACCGACGCACAGAAGTCGAGCTCTAAGCCGGGCCGGGGAGCCAAGGGATCGGCGCGGGCGGGGGAGAAGGAAGCGGAAAAAACAGGAGACGCGGGGGAGGCGGGGGAGGCGGGGGAAAATGACGTCATTCTGACGTCAGCTCACCCTAAAGACCTCTTGGGGCTTCAAGATAATACGCTGTTCGAGCTGAGGTATTGTTTTTTGCACCTGTTTGTACTTCTAATTTGAGCTTGAGATTTTAACACACTTAGTAAGTTGAAATAAGCTTTTGACTTGTTTGGCCGGTCTAGCGTTTCACACGCTTGCTCAAACTCCCTCTCTCCCTCTCTCTCACTCACTCTCACTCACTCCCACTCACTCACTCCCATTCCCACTCACACCCACTCTCTCTCTCTCACTCCTTTCAGTGAGGAGCATCTGCAGCAGTTTTTACCCGAGGGTCTCCCTCCTTCAGTGGAAAAAGAATTTGAAGCCTCCAAATCCCGAGCCATCCTTCTCCGGGCAGCCACGAAAGATTTCATCCACAAGCTTCAAGCTGCCCGAGACCACCAGTCCAGCTCCTCAGACTCCAGCAATCTAGTGGAACCTTCCGGCAGTCCAGAAGGGCAGGTTAAAAGCTCCTCCCCAGGCTCTTTTCTGATCCGAGGCCTTCCGGGCAGCGGAAAAACTTGTCTGTTGCTGACCGCTGTGCTCTGGGCCCGTGCAAACGGGTGGCTGGTGTTTTATCTGCCCAAGGCGAGAGAATGGACGAATGGGGGGCTGTATTACAAGCACCCTGAGAGTGGGGGTGAGGTGGTGGGGGTGCAGGAGGGAGGGGAGATGGAGGGTGGAGGGGGAGTGGGGTCTGGAGGGAGAAGGAAGGCTGTTTGGGATACGCCGATTCAAGCACAGGCATCACTCAAGGTGAGACGGATTGTTAGTGAATTTGAATGGATTAAAGACATTGAATTTGAATGGGTGTCATGGCGTTGCATGGGTACATGGCACTGCATGGATGGGTGTATGGCATTGAATAAGCCAGTATTCAGTCGACTCAAGTATGCATCATTCACTTTCACCCTTTCTCCCCCCTTTAACCCACCCTGCCACAGGCATTCCTTGCTGCCCACCAGGACATTTTATCCTCTCTGCCCGTTCAGCTGCCCGAGCCTATCACTCTGGGAGAGGGTCCAGGCACAGGCTTGGCCCGGGGCAGCCAGGTCGTGTCGCCGGGTTCTGATTGGTCGCTGGGAGATCTCGTGAAATATGGAGCGGACCACTCGCATGCTGCCACGAGTGTTGTGGTCCGGTTGAGAGAGGAACTTGACAGAGTGTCCTCAGTTCCTACTATGATTGCTATCGATGAGGTGAGAGGGGAGGTGAAAGCGGAAGGGGGGGGGGGGGGGGTATGTTGGGAACACAAGCTTAATCTTGGAGCTGACCACTCGCATGCTGCCATGAGTGTTGTGATTCGGCCGAGAGAGGAGCTGGGGAGAGTGATGTCAGTTCCTACAACGATTGCCATTGATGAGGTGAGAGGGGGGGTGAAAGGGGAAGGGGGGGGGGGGGTATGTTGGGAACACAAGCTTAGCCTTGGAGTTGACCACTCGCTTGCCGACCGCCATGAGTGTTGTGGGCTGAGAGAGGAGCTAGGGCAGCTGACCAGTGTCCCCACCATGATTGCTATCGATGAGGTGAGGAGGACTGGAGGAGAGTGGGTGAGTGGGTGGGGTTGGAGTGGGTGGGTGGGGGTATACTATGGTTGCAAGACGCCCCTCCCTACTCTTCAACTCTCCCTGTATGCATGTGCCATTTAATCGTGGTATTCACAATCTTGAAAAAAAATCTGTCCGATCAATGAAATCCATATCCCTGCTTCTTTTAGAATTCTCAAAACGTAACACTGCATGCCCATATGTGTTTTTTGAGTCGACTTAAAAATCAATATTGAAATACTTTCTGTCCGATCAATTAAATGCCTCTGCATGCCCATTCCTATCCTTCTCCATCCATCCCTATCCCTATCCTCGCTCCGTATATGTGCCGTGGCCCTAAACCCCAAACCCCACACCCCGAACCCCAAACCCCAAACTTGAAACCTGAGACCTGAAACCCCGAACCCCAAACCCCAAACCCGAAACCTGGAACCCCAAACCCTGCAGTTCAACGCATGGTTCACATTCGCGGGGTTCTTTGAGTCAACCGGAGATAGAAGCCGAAGACAGATTCATGGGGGAGAGATGAGGATGGTGAGTGTTACCGTAAGCATGAGGATGGTGAGTGTCTCCTCGCCGGCGACAGATGCGTTTTTGGATCGATGAGGGTGGTGGTGGGTCATGGATAGAAGGTGGGTATTCACCTGGGTCTGAGTATTCACCTGGGTCTGAGTATTCACCTGGGTCTGAGTATTCACCTGGGTCTGAGTATTCACCTGGGTCTGAGTATTCACCTGGGTCTGAGTATTCACCTGGGTCTTGAGTATTCACCTGGGTCTGAGTACTCTTTGCGCATCTCACCCTCTTCAACCGCACTTGCCACTTCTTTCTCTGAAGTGATGCTTTATCTGTCTCACAAGTCTTTTTTTGCCATCAAATCCTCCTCCCTTCAACTTCACCCACCATACGCCCCCCCGTGAAACCCACCATACTCCCTTCAAGTCCTTGCTGCTGCGTTCTCTGAGTCATTAGCCGTGGGTCGGCTGCCTCCAGCGCTGCCAGTGGTTCCCAAGTGTGTGCGGCTCAAGAGTCTCCCTCTCTTGACCGCCATCCTTGTCCCTCCCCCCCCCCCGCTCCCTTCTCTTCCCGGCCATCAGGTGCAAGCGTTCCGCCCCTTGTCACCTGCCTTGCTCACCGCACCGTCTGCACCAGTCATTGCCGCTGCATTCTCTAAATCAATTGCTGTGTGGCGGCTGCCCCCAGTGCTGCCGGGATTGGAACCTCAAACGCCTCAAGCGTCTCCCTCTATTGCCTTCCATCCTCGTGCTTCCCCCCTTCAGGTGCAAGCGTTCCGCTACTTGTCAGCTGCCTCACCAAACGCACCCTCTGCACCCATCATTGCCGCAGCGTTCTTTGAATCAATAGCCGCCTCTCTTGACCACCAACCATGCCCTCCCCCCCCCCTCTCTCCCCTTCCTTTCAGGGGCAAGCGTTCCGCTCCTTGTCACCCGCCTCACCAAACGCAGCATCTGCACCCATCGTTGCTGCTGCGTTCTCTGAGTCAATAGCCGTGGGCCGGCTGCCCCCAGTGCTGCCAGGGGTCTTTGAGGGTGTGCGGCTCAAGTGTCTCCCTCTCTTGACCGCCAACCTTGTCTCCCCCCCCCCTCCCTTCAGGTGCAAGCGTTCCGCTCATTGTCACCCGCCACACCCGCCTCACCCGCCTCGTCCTCTCCACCCATCGTTGCCGCGGCGTTCTCTGAGTCAATAGCCGTGGGCCGGCTGCCCCCAGTGCTGCCAGGGGTGCCCAAGGGTGTGCGGCTCAACGTGCCGCGATTCACTGTGGACGAGACACTCGCGCTGCTACAGTACTATCAAAAGAGGTGCGTCCTTGTCAGTGCAACAGTACCGCTACAACATGGTTCACTGTAGACGAGACACTCGCGCTGCTGCAGTACTATCAAAAGAAGTGCGTCCTTGTCAGTGCAACAGTACCGCTACAACATGGTTCACTGTAGACGAGACACTCGCGCTGCTACAGTACTATCAAAAGAGGTGCGTCTGTGTCATGTCAAGGCACTGGCTGTTTCTTGTTACCATAGGGTTTTTGCTGGCTCTGACGCAAAGGAGGAAGCTACTATGGTATATTGCGCTCCCACTTGCTGCTAACACTGCATTTTTGGTGCCATTCGCTTCCCTCCCCTCTCTATGTGCCCTCAAAACTGCAGCTGCAAGATGGGCCGTGTGGCTGATAGCGAGGAGGCCACTATCGAGGCTGCAGTGCGTGCGTACATGGTCACAGGGGGAAATGCTGCGCAACTTAGAAACGTGGCCCATTTTCTGTGATGGGCTACATTGAAAACCACAGTATCTCTATGGGGACCCTTTATCATGGTTGCTTGGATCATATGGGAAGATGCCTTGCCGAATAGATAACATGGCTAAGAACGACGGACGACTTCCATAACTAGCAACCCAATTTTGAAAAAGGGGACTGGACTGGAAGCTTGGTGTAGCAGCTACACATGCCACTGTCCAATCTAGTTTGTCGTGCACAAAGGAATGTTTGGAGCAAGCATGGCCATAGTGATCTCAACGAGGAGTGGTGGTTTTCCTCATGAATGAAGTTTCATTTCATGGTAAAAGTTGTGTCAATGCCGTTTCGAAACTTGCCTTGCCTGTATCCGCTCTAGGTTCGCGATGGACCCCTCAGGCGTCTTATTTGTGGGTCCCTCCATCGAGTGGGATCCCAGCTTGATAAACTCCTCTGCTATTTTGCCGTGGGGTTTTCGTGATGTGGAGCTGGTGAAGTGATGAAGTGGGTGGAGAAATGAGGACTACGAACGAAGAACAAGTCTTTCAACATAACTTTAAGAGCTTTGTACAGTTCAGCAGACATTTTTCCAAATAACGCATCGGTAATATCGAGTGAAATATCAGTTCGAGGAGCTTTGAAAGGAGCGGCTCTCTGCGAGACCCAAGGGGGGCTCCTCCAACTTCCAAGCCTAGAGAACACCGAACAAGACCAGCAAATACAGTCCCCTTGGTCAGTTACTTGCCTGGTAACGGCCGGCAAGACCGGCGGCTTATCGAGCCACCCTGCACGCTTCGGTCTGGGTGCTATTGATTCGTTATCTTGGCATTGCAGCTGAAAAGCCGGACCTTTGGTGCTGCTTGTTGCTCCCGTCCTATTGGTTTCCGTCGTCCGAGTATGCTAGACGTCCTTATTTCAAAATTAACATAGCCTGTGTTGTCACGCGACGACTCGTTTGACTCAAGCCAGCCTCCGTTTAGCATCCTTCAGCGTTGTCGTCCGACTTTATTGACAAGTCGTCTTTTTATCATTATTGACTGACTGCGACTAATTGCGACGAACTGCGACGAATTGCGAAGAATGGCGACATTGAAGTGGAGCCTAGCTCCGCTGACGGACCCGGCTGCTGCCGCGTCGTGCATCAATGGCGAACAAACGACAGGGCGATCGAAGGTCATTCACCTGGTTCGTTCTTACTCTTGATCATCCGCGTCCTCTAATTCGTCCTTAGTTTGTGCCACTTTCTAATGCCGGTGCACATTTATGCTCCCACGATGAAAGCATGTTGTGTGTCTGGAAGCCTGTTCCTAAGCTGTCTAATAAGCACTTTTCCTCTGAGTCCCACAGACACTGCAACAGCGCACCATCGCACTGACATTACACAAGCTCAACCATGGTTTTACCGTCATTAGTTTTATTTATCGTCCGTCATCGCGGAAGCACACACTTTTCTAGGGATCCTGTTTCTTCGTCCAACGCTCTTCCTGTGACCAGATTCGTCACGGTCAGGCGGTCCACATTGATTTCGTTGCGTTCGTCTGTCATCGTTTCAATGTACATTTTCTGGGGGATCCCGTTTCTTTCGTCCAACGCTCTCCCTGTGTGTGACCAGATTCGTCACGGGCAGGCGGTCGTTGTGTTCGTCAGTCATCGTTTCAATGTACATTTTCTTGGGGATCCCGTTTTTTTCGTCCAACGCTCTTCCTGTGTGTGACCAGATTCGTCACGGGCAGGCGGTCCACAACCTGGTGAAGGACACGGAGCAGTACAAGCTCGAAAAGTTTCTCGACTGCCCGCTCAGCTCTCAGGGATTTGAGCAGGTCTGCTGGTGTATTTGAGCAATTTCGTCGCTGTTTCTAGCTTCCTTTTATAGCCTGCTCCTTTACTTCAGTTTGCATCTGCTTCGATGCCAATTAAGTCTCGCACTTCCTCCCCTCACAGGTAGCAGAGCTCCTCTTCCCCCCCTCCCCTCTCTCCCCCTCCCCTCCCCCCCCCTCCCTCCCCCCCACACACCCTGTCAACCCACCCCCACAGGTGGCAGCGCTCGTCTTTCCCTCGCCCGACCCCCCCCCCCCCCCCCCCCCCCCGTCCCCCACACACCCCCTGTCAAACTCCCCCCACAGGTGGCAGAGCTCCGCAGGCAAGTGGCAACCAACCCTCCCCCGGGCTTCCCTGCCGACCTTATAGTCGTCTCCCCCCTGCTGCGGTAAGTCGCCTGTTGCTGCTGTCCCCCTCACCGTCATTGAAGAAAGTTGAATGACATGCACTCTTGCTGGGCCAGTGTGTTCCCTGCCGACCTTACAGTCGTCTCCCCCCTGCTCCGGTAAGCTGCCTGCTGTTGCACTCGCTCACCTTCGTTGGAGTAGGCTGAATGACATACACTCCTGCAACGCCAGTGTGTTCCCTGCCGACCTTGTAGTCGTCTCCCCCTTGCTGCGGAAAGTCGCCTATTGTTGTCTCTCTCACCTTCTATTTGAGTAAGTCAAATGCCTTGCACTGTTGCTGGGCGTGTGGCTTCCATGCCGACCTTATAGTCGTCTCTCCCCTCCCCTGCTGCGGCAAGTCGCCTGTTGTCGTCCCTCTCATCTTCTTTGGAGTAAGATGACTGCCATGCACTCTTGCTGGCTGATCACGTTCCCTGTCAGCCCTGACGGGGTCTTTCCTTCGATGCGGCAAGTATATCTCGTCACCTCCTCTGCTTCTACTAGTGTTCTCGAATCTTTTTTCTCTCTCTTATGAATCACTTTTCCTGCTGCTTTTTCCAGTGACCTGTGAATTTCCCTCTTGACTTCTGTCCTCAGCAAGCTCCAAACAGCGCTAGGTGCATTTGACCCTTCTCCACCACCATCCACTCGATTGAAACCCCCTTTCTCTTTCTCTTCAACCCCAACCCCCCCCACCCTCCAACACCCCCCCTCCTCCCCCCCCCCGCCGGCGCTCTTCCCCCCAGGACGCTGCAAACAGCAGTAGGTGCCTTTGGCCCACCTCACACCGACATCCCAGTCGACCTTCCCCCTAAAGAAGCAACATCCAATGGGGTTGAGGCGTCTGCACCAGCGACTGTTGTGACGGCTCCTGTAACAGCTGAATGCGGTAACCAGGTTACCACAACGATGCCAGCACACATCCTCGCCAACGAGCTCTGCAGAGAAACGCTGGTGAGTGAGTTGAGTGAGTTTTGAGGCGCCTCAAAAAACGCTGGTGAGTGAGTTGAGTGAGTGAGGGATGGCGGGTGAAGATTAGTGAGAGAGAGAGTTGAGTGTCTCGGGGGTAGTGGTTGAGGGCTAGTGTAGTTTTGAGGTGCCTCAAAAGCAGAGAAACGCTGGTGAGTGAATGAGTTGAGCGACTCAGGGGGGAGCGGGTGATGGAGGGGAGTGAGTGAGATTTAGGGATTGAGGGGTGTGGGTGAGGGAGGGGAGGCGGATAGTGAGAAGGGTTTGTGAGTGAGGGTTACGGATTGGGGGGTAGTGAGTGAGTGCCGGTCAGAGGATGAGGGTTATTGAGCGAGTGATTCTGTCCCTATTGCATGGAATCATGCAGATTCCACAGTGTTTCCATCGCATCCACCAGTTTTGAGGCGCCTCAAAACTAGATTCCACAGTGTTTCCATCCCATCCACATACCAGCACGTACTTTCCTTCCACGTGTCCTTCTTTCTTTTCCTCTCTCTTCCCCTCCGTCTCTCTGTCCCTCCGTCTCTCTGCCCAACCTCTACCCCCCCTCCCTGCCCCTCGGTGCGTCCTACAATGTCGCCCCCTGGCCTTTCTGGTGGCTGCCACGATATTCCATGTGTTCGTTCTTGCTTTTGAGTCGACTCAACAGCAGACTCCATGAGTTGGTTCTTGAGAAATTTAGAAACCGACCCCCTACCGTCTGTTCCTCCTCGTACCGTGCTCCCATACACCAGCACGTGCATGTGTGCGACAAGCGCCGACCAATCAGAGAGAAGAAAGGCCTTTTCCCCTCTGTGGACTTCAGTCAGGTGCAGTGTGGTGCTGGCCTTCGTTTCGAGAGAGGTGTGGTGCAATGCAGTGCGGTGCCGGTCGGTTGCGTTGAGTCATGTGGCGCAGTGCTACGGGTATGCATGCAAGGTCGAGTATGCTACGGACGGATGTGCCTGCCATGTGTGTATCAAGCCATTTATATGCATCCCAAGCCAAGGATGCACCATACCATGGAAAGTGGACTCTCTGCAGACGTTTTCTTGAATGGTTCAAGGAATGATAAGTCAGCGTCGTGTGGACACCCGTGCGCACACTCTGCAGATTACGGACGACGAGGATGTGGTGTGGAAGGTGGAGCCAAGGGAGACTCGGGATGAGATCGCACAACGAGCCACCGATCTCGCAGCATGGTGCGAGTGCAGTCGACTGCAGCATGCCTTTATTTCTAAGGTTTTTTAATTTTATTTTCGCTGATAGATATCATGTTGCCCTCCCTGTCCACCGTTTGATTCGCACTGCATATCAAGTCGATGCATTGTTTAAAAGTTCCTTTTCCCTCCCTTACTACTCGCATGCACCCGTCTTCCAGGCTGCTTGGCTTGAAGGAGAACTCCATAGCTGTCGTGTCTCACAGCGGTTTCCTCCATGCCTTTGCCACTGTTGGCCTTCCCACTCACCTACGGCCCGAAAACAAGCTCGTCTAGTGAGTGTGATAACAGTCACAATTTGAACAGTTTAGTCTGGTGAGTGTTTATTTGTTGATCCCGACCCCCTCCCTTTCCCCTCCTCTGCAACCCCCACTCTACAACCTGAAAACAAGCTGCTGAGTGAGCTTATTTGCTGGCCTCCTCACTTCCCCCCTCCCCCTTCCCCGACTACAACGTGAAAGCAAGCTGATCTGGTGAGCGTGCTTATTTGTTGATCCCAGCTCCCTCACCCCCCACACCCACCCACCCTACATTTAGAAAAAACTACGTTTTTTTCCTAACTGTTTGCGTACCGATGCGAGTTGACGGGGCACCTGAGCTGTGAAGGAAGCTGTGCCTTGGCTTTTTGGTGTATGTACGGTACCTTTTTTCAATTCCTTGTCATCTCCCCCTTCTGCTCTCCCCTCTGCTGCCTCTCAGCTTTGAGAATTGCCGGCTACGCTCCTATATTCTGTCAGGGGAGGACTAGCATATCAGAGTGACCCTCCGTTAGTTGTAAGTGTACCATGTTAGGGTGTCGGCTAGACGCATGGTGCATATTATCTAGAACAACCCTCTTCAGACTGCAACCAGGGGTCCCATTAGGAAGCTACGCTAGTCAGTCCAGAGTGAGACTAATTTCTACACGATAGCTTGGTTGCAAGTTAACTCTAGTAAAACATGACTAATTTACAGTGCCAATGATACAACGGCCTGCTAAGGAAAATAGTCACGCCAATTGTTGTAGTACGATTCCCTCACTTCCTTAGGCATCATTTTGTTCCACTGCACACAGCAACACACGGAGAGCATCCACACAAAACAAGCGTGCAATGTCAGTAACAAACATACAGCACATGGATGAAAGGCAGAAACATATGGAGCACACACCGGAACTGCCAAAAGGGAATAAAAAAACCCTAAAACCACCCATTTCAAGAAAACCAGACACCATTGATGCATGGAGGTTATATTCACGCTACTCACGCACCTGAGGCTCATACGGCTTCCTCTGTCTGCAAGCCTTCTTGAACTGGTGGTTCTCGTGAATGTACGCCATGTCATGCCAGCTGAAAGGATCGCAGTGAAAAACGAAGGGAGGGTATGTCAGCTGAAAGGAGTTTTCCTGGAATTATTTGAAGCTGACATGATGTGCCTGTTTCCTGACTTATGTCAGCATTGTGGCATTGAAAAGCAAGCCTCCCGCATGCACGAGTCCCAACAGTTCCGAATGATCAATGTTCGGCTGAAAAGCATCCCATGCTCCCTAAACCACGAGCCGAGTGCACTACCTTGTGCGCCGCCTTCTGCTGCCAGTAGTATGGATCGGCTAAAAAGAGTGACTCGATTCACTCACTTGTGCTCCGTTGTGTGCTGCCAGTAGTATGGATCGGCTACCGAGTAGAGCGAGAAACCGACGGCTCCCCAGAAAATGCCGGAGAAAATGTCCTTATCGGTGTGAGGCACGCCGGGATCACCGGTATACGCGGGACCGAAAATCTTATCCATCCTGGATTCTGGTACTTGTAGTTAACCAGAAGAGGCTTGCACGCAACTTGAGGAGCGAAGCCAACAGCCGGGAAACAGCGCTACCAAGGAGCCGAAGCTGCAAGATAGCGACTCGGAGAACGGACCACCAGAAGGTCTTCGTTCCTAGCAGCTAAGAGACAGACATGCCTTAGCAACTAGGTTGCGTCTAGGAACTTGAATGTCTCTGGCGGATTGGGCTTGATCCTTGCTGCTTGAAGCTGGAGGAAATACCGGATTTCAAGTACGTTCTGATGCGTTTTCGTACATTGCCTTTCGGTTTTATGCGGTGATACGGGAGGCTGACTGATGGCTGGAGTGGATGGGAGCTGTGCGGTATGGATGGGACGTTGAAAACTGTTTTGTGAAATGAACGGTGAAGATGTGAAAAGCTGATGGCCTTTGGGATTGCCCTGGAAGGTTGACGTGGCAGTGACACGTCCTGAACTTTGGGAGGGCGTGCTCTCCACCTCCAGCGGAAATTCTCGATAAGCTTCCTGCGCTTCTCTGTAACGCAAATATAATACTGTACAGTTAATCTTCTAGTTATGACGAAAACCCTTTTCGCCCAAAAGGGCAAAACTTGCGACCTAATGTTGGCCCCACGAAGAGAGTAGACACAAATGCAGGCATTTGCAGAGGACGTTAGCCTCGTGTCAAAGAGAGCCTGAGAGCCATCATCTTTGAAGATAATGATATATTTTTCACAATCAACTTTTTGACTCGTGTCGATAATTTTTTTCTCGGTGCCGTTGGATAGGGCTAGGTTAGAGCTGGGGGGGAGTAGCATTCCAGGACTGGGCAAATTTGTTGCCTCCAAGCCTTCACATAGTGCACTGCAGGAAAGACGGCACTGCGAGTCATAAGAGTACTCTAGAAGTTGAAAGGCATTGAGGCCTCAGCATCTTCAGTTGTTGCACACGGTTGCACCAGCTCGGGCTCCATTCGTTGCTCTTTTTTCGGGCATGAGTGCATAAACCGCTACGCTGGCTGCTCGACGCTCATTTTTAAGAACCGCTTAGAACTGCTTAGAACCGCTTAGAACCGCGTAGCTCTCCCAGTGAAAATTGGCCGGCATGGCCTCTCCCGCGCCACCATTCCCACAAGCGCCGGCAGCCACGTCAGCAGCGATGACGGCGCCGTCAGGTCTCGCTGCTTCTGCTGGCGGGCCGGTAGACCACTACCCGCAGCCGTTAGCGACGCACGAGGCGATTCTGGGAGATCGCGTGCTGTTCCTTGACTTGCTGGCGCGGTTTCACAACCAGATGGGCGGATCGCTGAGGTGAGAGGGGAGCCACAGGCTTGCATCACTGAAAATGCGAGAGAGGACTTTCAGCGTTGCCTCATTATACAGGTGAAAGTGGAGACGGATTTAGCCCGTGCTGTACCTTGACTTGCCAGCCCGGTTTCACAGCTGAAGTCTTCTCTTCCGTCTCGCTGCTGCTATCAGGATTCCTCAGATGGGAGGGAGGGAGTTGGATCTGCACCTGCTGTACCGTGAAGTGACTGGCAGAGGAGGGCTCATGCAGGTGAGGACCGACCGACCGGTGCAGTGCAGGTGTGGCCTGGTGCAGGTATTATTCATCGAGGGGAGATACGAAGGTGGGCTTGCACCTGCTGTACCGTGAATTGATAGGCAGAGGAGGGCTCATGCAGGTGAGACCTGGTACAGGTGAGACCTGGTGCAGGTGGTGGAGGCGAGGGGGGGACAACGCATCAAAGCATCTGCTTTTTTCCTGTTCATTTCCCATTGCTTGTGTAAGTAGTTTAGCTTTGAGACGCCTCAAAACAGAACTACTCACACACAACACAAAGCATCTGCCCTTTTTCTGTTACGTTCCCATTGCTTCTTGGAGTGAATGGTATCAAGGTGCAATGGCTAGTATCTTTTGCATCAACTCAAATCACACTTCCCCCCCCCTTTTTCCCCCCACCCTTCCTGCTCTCCTCCTTTCAGGTGACAGCCGATCGCAAGTGGAGGGACGTGACGATCCCCTTTGACTTCCCGCCCACCACCACCAGCGCATGCATCCTACGTGCTTTTGAGGCGCCTAAAAAATGCATCCTACGTGCTTTTGAGGCGCCTAAAAAATGCATCCTACATGCTTTTGAGGCGCCTCAAAAATGCATCCTACGTGCTTTTGAGGCGCCTAAAAAATGCATCCTACGTGCTTTTGAGGCGCCTCAAAAATGCATCCTACGTGCTTTTGAGGCGCCTCAAAAATGCATCCTACGTGCTTTTGAGGCGCCTCAAAAATGCATCCTACGTGCTTCTAGATGTTCCCCCCGTTCCCCTCCACCCTCTCCCCTCCCACTACCACCCCTCTGGCCCTTCCATTCTTGCTCCTTGCAGGTGATAGCGGACCGCAAGTGGCGGGACGTGACGTGACAATCCGCTTTGACTTCCCGCCCACCATGACCAGCGCATCCTACATGGCCTCCCCTTCCCTCCTCCTGCGTTCCACCTCTGGTACTTACCCGTTGTTCCTTGCAGGTGATAGCGGACCGCAAGTGGCGGGACGTGACGATCCCCTTTGACTTCCCGCCCACCACGACCAGCGCATCCTACGTGCTTCGCAAGTTCTACATAAATCTGCTGCACCACTTCGAGCAAACCTACTTCTTCAGGAGTCAGGGCCCTCTCGTCCCTCCCCCCCGTAAGTTTTTTTTTATTTGCCCTGCCACGGGGAGAAAGTAGGAGGTCAAGTAGTTTAGTTTTGAGACGTCTCAAAACTAAACTACTTAACCTCGTCCCTCCCCCCCATGAGTACTTTTTGATTTGACCTGCGGGGGGAAAGGGGGGAGGGGGGGAAGGGGGGGAGAAAGAGAGGCCATCAGCGCATCCTAAGTACGTTCTGCGCAAGTTCTACATCAAGCTTCTGCACCACTTCGAGCAGACCTACTTCTTCAGGAGTCAGGGGCCCCTTGTGCCCCCCCCCTCGTGAGTCCCTCTGTCGCCCCCGTGAGAGTGCCTTCTGAGCTGTACTGCCAGAGAGAGAGGTCAGCGCCACTAGCGCTTCCTACGTGCTGCGCAAGTTCTACATCAACCTGTTCCGCCACTTCGAGCAGACCTACTTCTTCAGGAGACAGAGGCCCCTTGTGCACCCCCCTCGTGAGTCCCCCCGTTCCCCCATGAGAGTACCTTCTGAGCTGTGAGCTGTACTGACTGCCATAGAGAGACCACCACCACCAGCGCATCCTACTTTCTGCACAAGTTCTACATCAGTCTGTTCCCAATCCATCACTTCGAGCAGACCTACGTCTATCGGAGTCAGGGATCCCTTGTGCCTCCCCCTCGTGAGCACTTTCGGATCTGCACTGCGAGAGAGACACCACCACCACCAGTGTGCATCCTACGTGCAGTGCAAGTTCTAAATCAACCTGCTGCACCATTTTGAACAGACCTACTTCTTCAGGAGTCAGGGGCCCCTTGTGCTCCCCCCCCGTGAGTATCTCCCCCCTGTGAGTATCTCCCCCCTGTGAGTATCTCCTCCCTGTGAGTATCTCCCCCCTGTGAGTATGTCCCCCCTGTGAGTATCTCCCCCCTGTGAGTATCTCCCCCCCGTGAGTATCTCCCCCCCGTGAGTATCTCCCCCCCGTGAGTATCTCCCCCCCGTGAGTATCTCCCCCCCGTGAGTATCTCCTCCCCGTGAGTATCTCCCCCCCGTGAGTATCTCCCCCCGTGAGTATCTCCTCCCTGTGAGTATCTCCCCCTCGGGAGTATCTCCCCCCTGTGAGTATTCCCCCCTCGTGAGTGCTAATATTATCTCCCTCCTCTCCCTCCTCCCCTCCCTTGAGTGCAGCGCTCACCCACTTCCCTCGTAAGCGCGGGGCAAGAAGAGCGCAAGGCGTTGAAGCCCCCCCTCTTGTGTCCTTCCCTCCCTCCTTGTACTCTTCTCCCTCTCCCCCCCACCCCCCCCTCCCCTCCCTTGAGTGCAGCGCTCACCCACTTCCCTCGTAAGCGCGGGGCAAGGAGAGCGCAAGGCGTTGAAGCCCCCCCACGTGAGTCCGTTCCTCTTTGTTCCATTTTTCCCCTACCACTGCACAAGCCGACCTCTCTGCCTGTTATCCCTGGGATGTTTGTTTTTCCTGACAATCTCTACCCTCTCTCTTTTCCCACAATCGTTTTTCTTCTGACAATCTCGCCTCCTCACACAACACCAGCCCTGCGGCTGGCCACCAAAAGAGACCGCAATTCACCCACTCGCTCCCCCCTTCCCTCCTCACAACACCAGCGCCCCAGCTGGCCAACATAGGGCGCAACATCTCGGGCATCATTCGCTCCAAGTGCGACAACGGCTACTTCATCACCGTGCCCATGGGCGACCAGGTATGCTACCCTCTGTCTGCTGTAGCCCCCCCCTGCGGATCAGCGTCTCAGCACCAGGGCATACGTTCTGCGCCATCACATCAGCATGCATGCAATGCGAGTGCGTCAACGGCTACTTCATCACCGTGCCCATGGGCGACCAGGTATGCTACCCTCTGTCTGCTGTAGCCCCCCCTGCGGATCAGCGTCTCAGCACCAGGGCATACGTTCTGCGCCATCACATCAGCATGCATGCAATGCGAGTGCGTCAACGGCTACTTCATCACCGTGCCCATGGGCGACCAGGTATGTGGCTCGTCTTCTGTAGAATCTGTACCATCATGATCGGCTCGCCCACTCACCCCACCTCCCTGGCACCATTTGCTCCAAGTGCGACAATGGCTACTACATCACCGTGCCCATTGGCGACAAGGTATGCTTCCCCTGCCCCTCCCCCCTCGCCCATGTGCCTCCTCCCCTCCCCCCCCCAACTGCCCTCCCCCCCCTCCAACTGCCTTCGCCCCCCAACTGTCCTCCCCCCCGCACCTCTTCGGGCCTCAGCCAGTCAACTCCATTCTGATTACCATGATCACCATGATCACCATGATCACCATGATCACCATGATCACCATGATCCCCATGATCACCATGATCACCATGATCCCCATGATCACCATGATCACCAAGATCACCATGATCACCAAGATCACCATGATCACCAAGATCACCATGATCACCAAGATCACCATGATCACCAAGATCACCATGATCACCAAGATCACCATGATCACCAAGATCACCAAGATCACCATGATCACCATGATCACCAAGATCACCATGATCACCATGATCACCAAGATCACCATGATCACCATGATCACCATGATCACCAAGATAACCGTGAGATTATCAACTCCATGATTATCTCACCCACTCTCTATCTCCCCATTCCCCACCTCCCGCTCTCCTCACAGGTGCTTCACGGGATTCTCTACCACCCCCCCTCCACCTCCTCCTCCTCCCCGCTTTTTGTGGCGCCTCTAAAACCTCCACCTCCTCCTCCTCCCGCTTTTTGAGGTGCCTCAAAAACCTCCACCTCCTCCTCCTCCCCGCTTTTTGTGGCACCTCAAAAACCTCCACCTCCTCCTCCTCCCCGCTCGCCGCTCCCCAGCCCATGCTCAACGCCTTCTCTCTCAACGCCCTCTCCCTCAATTCGTCTCTCATTCCCTCTCAAGCTGTGGGGCGCCGCAGGAGGCAGAAGAGGAGGAGGCAGGCGGGGGGGGGCGTGCCCGGGGTGGTGACTCCCTCAGCTCGTGATTCCCCGTCCCGTTCCCCTTACTCCGCTTCCGAGGCGCCTCAAAAGCCTTACTCCGCTTCCTCTCTCCTCCCTGCCCTCGCCCCTCACAGGTGCTTCACGGGATTCTCTACCACCCCCCGCCACCTCTTCCTCTGCACCTTTCTCCGCTCCCCAGCCCGTCAGCTTCATGCTCAACCCATTCGGCCTGGGCTTGGCCCTCATATACTTCCAAACACTCCCTCCCCGCCTCCCCTCTTCCCCCTTTCCCCACTCCCCCCCCCCCCCGCCCCTCGCAGGTGCTTCACGGGATTCTCTACCACCCCCCCTCCTCCTCCTCCCCGTTCGCCGCGCCCCAGCCCGTCAGCTTCATGCTGAACCCCTTCGGGCTGGACTCGGCCCTCATACGATCCCAAATGATGGGCCGACGCAGGAGGCGGAAGAGGAGAAGACGGGCTGAGCTGCTAGCAGCAGCCGCGGGGGGCATGCCCGGGGTGGTGATTCCCCCTAAGCAGAACCGCACGGGGTATAACTTCTTTTTCGGGGAGCAGAGGATGAAGCTGAAAGCTGAGATGCCCGACGTGCCGGACCGGGAGATCAGTCGGCTGATTGGGCAGCGATGGATGGCCCTCTCCCCTCAAGACAGGATTGTGAGTACAGCTCTTTCGCTCCCTCTTTCACATCCACACGTACGCACCAACACTCGCCCACACACACACACACCGGGGTGGTGATTCCCCTGAAGCAGAACCGCACGGGGTATAACTTCTTTTTCGGGGAGCAGAGGATGAGGCTCGAGGCTGAGATGCCGGACGTGCCGGTCCGCGAGATCAGCCGCTTGATTGGGCAGCGCTGGATGGCCCTCTCGCCTCAAGACATGATTGTGAGCATTGTCTCTCTGCCCTTCCCTCTCCCTTTTTTTGCTGCCTTCCTTGCTTTCCTGCTCCACCCCCCTCCCTCTTTCAGCCCTATCAGGAGCAGGCGGAGCGGGAGAGAGAGAGAGAGCGGTAGGTGGCAGAGGTGCGGGATTACAACAAGCAATGGTGTGCCACTCGCCGTCTGCTCAACCCATCACTCCTCTTTTATCCCCTTGCCATACTCCCCTCCCTTCTCTTCCCCAGCCCTACCAGGAGCAGGCGGAGAGGGATAGAGAGCGGTATGTGGCAGAGATGCGGGATTACAATGAGAGACGCGCACAAGCAGGGGGGGGCGTAGGGGGAGTAGGGGGAGGAGGGGAAGGAGGGGGAGGAGCGGGAGGGGAAGGAGGGCCAGCAGGGGGGTGGGAGGCAGGGGGATAGGGGGAAGATTTCGAGATCTGGGGCAGTATATGGGGGATATAGACAGGGTTATGGGGGGAGGGGGTTTCAGGCGCGGGGGAATGGGCGGAGGTGGGGGGAGGGGGAGGGGAGTAGGGGGGGCAGGGTTAGGAGGAGAGATCGATGAGGAGGATGAGGAGGAGGAGGGAGTGGAGGGTGAAGGGGAGGAGTATGAGGAGGAGGGGTATGAGGAGGAGGAGGAGGAGGGGGAAGGAGAGGAGGGGTATGAGTATGAAGAGGAGGAAGAGGAGGAGGAGGGAGAGGGGGAAGGGGAGGAAGATGAGGTGATGGAGTTTGATGGGTTGACGGGACATGTGGGTTTGCAAGTGGGAGCAGGTGTTGATGATACACAAGTGGGACTGCAGAGCTCTGCACTAGCATCTCCTCCTAACAGCATCGCTTTGCGTGACAGCATTTCTGTGCCTAACAGCACCTCAAAGCCGGTTGGTCCTTCGCAACCTGTACAATCAGCCAAGCTCCCTGTTGCAACTAGTGCTCCTCCTGCTGCTCCTGCCGCTGCTGTTCCTTCTGCTCCTGCCGCTGCTTCTCTTGCTCCTGCTCCTGCTGCTCCTTCTACTGCCGCTGCTCCTGCTCCTGCCCCTGCCCCTGCTCCTGCTCCTGCTCCTGCTCCTGCTCCTGCTCCTGCTCCTGCTCCTGCTCCTGCTGCTACTGCTGCTCCTGCTGCTACTTCTGCTGCTCCTGCGCCTATTCTTGCTCCTGATCTTGTGCCTGCTCCTCCTGCTACTGCTGCTCCTCCTGCTACCGCTCCTGCTCCTGCTCCTTCTGCCACTCTTCCTGCAGCATCTTCCGCCTTTACTCCCGCTGGCGCTTCTGCTCCCTCAGCTGCTGCTGTGTCATCTGGAAAAGCGGAGGTCAGCAAGGGAGGGGCTGGAGAAAGAGAAACTAATGAGGGTGGAGTGAAGCAGGAGGACCGACCTGAGGATAGGGCAACGGTGGTTGAAGGGGGGGATACTCGGATGGAGGAGGCGAGTCCAATGAAAGAAGCAGCAGCGCCAGGAGAAGGAGCAGGAAACGAAGCAGCAGAGGAGGCAGCAGCAGGAGGGGAAGGAGCAGCAGCTGGAGCAGTAGAAGGGGCAGCAGCAACAGCAGCAGTAGGCGAAGCAACAGCAGCAGTAGGCGAAGCAACAGCAGCAGTAGGCAAAGCAACAGCAGCAGTAGGCGAAGCAACAGCAGCAGTAGGCGAAGCAACAGCAGCAGTAGCAGGAGTGGCTGCAACTGGAGAGGCTACAACTGGAGCGGCTGCAACTGGAGAGGCTGCAACTGGAGCAGCTGCAACTGGAGAAGCTGCTGGCAAAGGTGTTTCTGCCACATCTGCTGCTGTCACTGCTGCTGCTACTGGTGGTGATGCTGCTGCTGGTGATGATGATGCTGGTGGTGGTGCTGCTGCTGCTGCTGCTGTTGCTGGTGGTGGTGTTGTTGGTGTTATTTTGTCGGGTGATGGTGCTGCTACTAGTGAAGGAGGCATGGATGTGGATGCAGCTGGTGATGTTGGGGCTGGTGGTGCTGCCACCACTGGTGATGCTGCTGCTGGTGGTGGTGATGGTGCTGCTGCTGGTGGTGATGGTACTGTGCTCACTACAGATGCAGGCGGCATGGATGTGGATGCACCTACTGCTGGTGCGGAATCTGGTTCTAGAGCAGATGAGCTTGCACCAGTTGCACCTGTTCTGGATGCATCTGCTGCAAGCCTGCCTGAACCTCACCCACCTCAAGCAGAGGCACCTGAAGATCACCCACCTGAAGCAGAGGTGCCCGAAGCTCACCCACCTGAAGCAGAGACGCCCGAAGCTCACCCACCTGAAGCAGGGGCACCTGAAACACTCTAACCTGGCCACACCAACCTGAAACCTGCCCACCTGAACTCTCTGCTGTGCATGCACCTGTTACCAGCAACCTGGATGTTACAGAGGACATAGATGAGGGGGAGGGCTAATGAAGAAACTCGAGGGAAGTGAGGTCTCTTGATGGTAAGAGGAGGAAACAAGCTTTTGTTACGTATCAATGTTCCTGTTTTTACTATGCTAATGCTAGGAGCTTGTACTACATAGCTTTTGTTTTTGTATGGATGTAATAGAAGGGAAAGTTGTGCCGTATTTGTAGACATTCAAAAGTACAGTCATCGAAATTATGTTGTCTTTCTGCAGTGTGATCTTTGTATCTTTCGCCCCGCAATTGCCGCTCTGGACGGCTCGACATTTTGCACGCCGCGCTTCAAAATCCTGTCTGTAGATACGATGATTGTGCCCGGAGGAATGACAAAAGTCTCCTGGTCCACTCAATATTTTTTTTTGTTCACGTTCATCTACGCAAATAGAGATATCCACATAACCTTTTTCCACACTAATCTCGCGCAGCGTTTGTACAAACCCTTATTTTGGGCAGTCAAATAGTTGTCCCTAGCCGCCGTACCAGAGGAGAATGTGGGGAAATTTTACTCGCTCTTGATTGGTCAAGACGCGAACTATTATCCGCCAGAACGCGATGCAATGCAATGCCAGTGCGACTCTCATGGCGGAAGGCGGAGCTCCAGGTTCCCGCTGATTTACACCCGCTTCCCCTTATTGTCCGCTCCCTTCCCCCTCTCCCTGCCCACCGTCCTCCGTCCCCCCATTCCCAGTTTCTCCTGTCACACTCTTCCCCCTTTCTCCCCCCCCCCACCCCTCCGCGCGCCACCATCCCCTCCCCACACCCCCACCCCCCCAACCCACCCTTTCCCCCACTACTCCCAGCGCCGCTCTCCCCAAGACAGCGCGCCTTCTTCCTCTCCATCATCCGCACACGACACGCGACGAAGGGGTGTGGTAGTACTGTACTATTGATGCAAGAATCGCCTCGTCAGTCATTGGCCATTCGAGATAAAGAGTTCTAGGTAAGGAATCCCGTGCTCCGTTACCAGCCACCATCTCCCCTAAAAGGTGTGCGGTGCCGTCTCGTTTCTCGCGTGGATTTAAACTTCGAATGACCAATTTCTCATGGCGCGTGATTCGCAGCGGGCAGACAGTCGCCTCCTGACGAAAGCCCGCACAAACGAGGCGACCACTGCGCCACATACGCACGCGGCCAGCAATTATTCCCTCCCTAGTCGAGCCGAAGGCTGCTGGCGCTACCAGCAGCATCGATGAGACGTCCCAACCAAAGCTAACAGCAGCAGAAGCTACGTGTAGAGCCCGCGCAGCAGCACATGGCCAACCACAGTTTTAGATTACTAGTCGCACGGTTCGACCTAGTCGAAACTAGCAAACTAGTCACACCTAGCGCTAGGCTAAACGGATTCAAGCACTAGGTGCACGGAATCCTCAGTCGCCTCCGAGTCGTATGAAACTCAAAGCCCACGGACTGTCGCCATTTACTAGAGGGCGCCACCTGAAACTCGCGAAAGAAGTCTCACACTAAGGATGGATTAACTACTAGTAGTACCGCATCTTCGCCCTTGTGAGCCGCCTAACACATCGCGTCGTCTGGATTGCTCGAATCATCGTAGCCTTTCCGTAGCCTTTTTTGGAGTTTTCCTGGCAGACGACTCGTTTGTTGTCGAGGTTTTAGCATAAGCGCGCACTGCCCGTCCCTACAGTTTGTATATAAAAAGAACATTTTACGAGATTACTGTACATCAGGGGTTTCCGCGATACTATCTCAGGTCATTGGTCTGCTCGCAGTGCGAGCAGGAAATTGGTCTTCCTCCGTTCTCGCACGTTCTCGCACGCTCTCGCCTTTCCCTCATTTCTGTCCATCTCCCGAATCACACGTTAGGCCGCACAAGCGCGCGAACTCTCTCCGCTCCGCGCCAAATCCCTCCGCTTCGCGCTAAATCCCTCCGCTCCGCGCTAAATCCCTCCGCTCCGCGCTAAATCCCTCCGCTCCGCGCTAAATCCGTACGCTTCGCGCTAAATCCCTCCACTTCGCGCTGAATCCCTCCGCTTCGCGCTGAATCCCTCTGCTCCGCGCTAAATCCCTTCGCTCCACGTTAAATCCCTCCGCTTCGCTCTGAATTCCTCTGGGCGGTGCCGGTCCGCGCGTTTCCTTCCGCTCCGCGCCTACTAAAATGCGCTGTCCTGCACCCAGTCGACGCAGCGTCGCTGGCGCGATGACCGTTGAGCCGATTCAAAGGTTTCAAAAGACACCTCGCGGCTCCGCAGCGACCAGAATGCGCTGCCCTACGCACAGTCGGCGCAGCGGCGCTAGCGGCGTGATTCTCGCCGGCCTGCTGCTCCTCGCTGTCTGCGCGCGCTCGTGTGAAGCCGTGACCGACCCGGCGCAAGGTGAGCAAGAGTACCACCAGCAGAAACTGCTGCTACTAGCAGCAGCACTGGACGCTGCAGTTACAGCACCGCCACAAACAGTCGACCTGTCTGCTGCTATGCTGCCCGCGGCTTTTGCTCGTCGGCATTCGTGCTCGTGTTTTGAGGCGCCTCAAAAGTCGTCGCCGTTCGTGCTAGTGCGTCGCAGTGACGGACCGACCCGGCGACTTTTGAGTCGACTCAAAAGTCGTCGCCATTCGTGCTGGTGCGTCGCAGTGACGGACCGACCCGGCGGGCGCAAGGTGAGTGACAGTACCGTCAGGTGCAGCCGTTACAGGACAAAGGGTAGACCTGCTCGCTGCGTGCTCGACTGTCGCAGTGATCGACCCGGCGGAGGGTAGTAGTGCTACCGCTACTGTAGCAGTAGCACGCAGCAGCCTCAAAACCACCTTTGACAGAGGTGAGCAGCAATGCAGCAATGCCAAGATATACTGTAGCAGAGGCCGCCGCAGAGGTGACAGAGGCCGCCGCAGAGGTGACAGAGGCCGCCGCAGAGGTGACAGAGGCCGCCGCAGCAATGCTTCTGTAGCAGTAGCACGCAGCAGCCTCAGAACCACCTCTGACAGCCGGCCTGCTTGCTGCATTTATTTTGTTAATGTAAAAACCGCGTGTAATGAGTCTGCTTTTGAGTCGACTCAAAAGCAGTAGCATGCAGCAGCCTCAAAAGATGCCTCTGACAGCCGGCCTGCTTGCTGCATTGCTGCTCCCCGCCGTCGCCGGTTCGTGCGGGTGTGTTGCATTGCACTGACCGACTCGGCGCAAGGTGAGCAATGATGCTTCTAGTAGAAGCGCAGTCGTCACAGAACAACTAAGGGTAGTAGTCCTTGGGGTTCGCTTTGTTGTACTAACCAACAGACTTGATGGAAATAAGGCCTCCGTCCGCCACAGCCTACCTGTATGCCATGTACGATGCATGCAAGAAGCGCAGTCGTCACAGAACGGCTCAGGGTGACTTTTGAGTCGACTCAAAAGTCACCTCCGTCCGCCACAGCCCACCTGTATGCCATGTACGATGCATGCTAGAAGCGCAGTCGTCACAGAACGGCTCAGGGTGACTTTTGAGTCGACTCAAAAGTCACCTCCGTCCGCCACAGCCCACCTGTATGCCATGTACGATGCATGCTAGAAGCGCAGTCGTCACAGAACGGCTCAGGCTAGACCCTGCTCGCGGCTGCTTTGCTGCTTCGCTGCTTCTCGCCGTCGCCGATTCGTGCGCGTGCGTCGCAGTTAGCGAGGTGAGCAATGGTGCCGGAAGGCGCAGCCGTTAGCGCACTAGGGGTAGACCCTGCTCTGCTCGTGGCTGCTTTGGTGTGGTGCCGCTCGCCGTCGCCGGTTCTCAGCACCTTTGCCGCGTCCCTTGGCGCGGGAAACCCCACCCCTACTTCAACGCCTGGTTTTGAGGCGCCTCAAAAATAAACGCCTGGTTTTGAGGCGCCTCAAAAATAAACGCCTGGTTTTGAGGCGCCTCAAAAATAAACGCCTGGTTTTGAGGCGCCTCAAAAATAAACGCCTGGTTTTGAGGCGCCTCAAAAATAGACTCCTTGGCGCGGGAAACCCCACCCCTTCTTCAACGCCTGGGCGGGCGGCGGTGACCCCGGTGTCCTCAACCTCCCCTCCCCCCTCCTCTCCTCTCCCCACAACGCCCCTTTCCCCCACTCCCTCCATAGTCACCATTCTCTCTCAGCACCTTTGCCGCGTCCCTCGGTGCAGGAAATGCCTTCTTCAACGCCTGGGCGGGTGGTGACCCCGGTATCTCCAACCTCCCCTCCCCCCTCCTCTCCCCACAACGCCCCTTTCCCCCACTCCCTCCCAAGTCACCATTCAAAGCACCTCTGTCGCGTCCCTTGCTGCGGGCAGACCCTTCTTCAACGCCTCGGATTTCTGCCTTCCGTTTCCCCTGCGCTCTCCCCACCCACCCCACCACCCAGTAGCCATTCTCAGCACCTTTGCCGCGTCCCTCAGTGAAGGAAACTCCTTCTTCAACGCCTGGGCGGGTAACGACCCCTGTGGTTTCTGCTCCCCTTTTCCATGCGCTCTGCGCTCCCTCTCCACCACCCCCCCTCTTCCCCCCCCCGGTCCCCAGCCGCCATTCTCAGCACCTTTGCCGCGTCCCTCGGCGTGGGCAACCCCTTCTTCAACACCTGGGCGGGTGGTGACCCCTGTGGGGAGAGCAGCGGGGTGCCATGGCCCGGAGTTGCGTGCTCGGCTGCGTCTTCGGGGACAAACGTGGTGACTGCGCTGTGAGTGCTGCAGCGCTATGGGTGGGTGCACCCCGTGCGAATACTGGCTGCCTGCTCGTGTGCTCTGCACACCGGACTTGCATGCTTGTGTGCGTCCCCGCCCGCCTGTGAGCTCCATTCGTGAGGGCGTACAGCACCAGTATTGTGGCTTCTGCTCTGCACCCAACTTTGGTTAAGTAAATTACTTTTGAGACGTCTCAAACTTAAACTACTTTGTGTGGGCGTACAGCGCCAGTGTTGTGGCTTCTGCACCCAGCTTTGAAACCTGCCCTCGTGCTCCCTCCCGCCCGATCCTCTCGCCCCTCCTTGCCCTTTCCCCCCTGCTCCTCTTGCCCTTTCTCCCCCCCTTCTCCCCCCCCCTCCTCCTCCCTCCCTCACTCTCCCTGCTGTTTAAGTGCACCTAGAAAAGGCCACTTCCGCACCCCCCCTTCGCTCCCCCTCCTCCCCAGCAAGCTCCAGCATGTGGGCCTTTTATTCTAGCGACTCCAAAGGACCTTCGCGCTTCCCTCACTTCCGTCTTCCCTCACTTCCGTCCTCCCTCACTTCCGTCCTCCCTCACTTCCATCCTCCCTCACTTCCGTCCTCCCTCACTTCCGTCCTCCCTCACTTCCGTCCTCCCTCACTTCCGTCCTCCCTCACTTCCGTCCTCCCTCACTTCCGTCCTCCCTCTCTTCCGTCCTCCCTCCCACCCACCCCTCTCTCCCTCCCTCCTCCCCAGCACGTTACCAAGTGTGGGGCTTTCAGGAGAGCTTCCTGCTTCCCTATTCGACCTCACGACTCTAACCAACCTGTAAGCATCCTCGGTATAAGCATCCTTCATAACATCCTCTTAAAGCATCCTGTCCAAGCATCTTCTGTAAAGCATTCTCGTGTTTTATGATTTGCCAATCCATTGTCATGCAAGTGAGCATGCCAACCAATATCCCACCATGCTCTTCCCTTCCCCTCCCCTCTCCCCCCCTCCCTCCCCCACTTCCCCTCCCCTCCCCCCCCCTCCCTCCCCCACTTCCCCTCCCCTCCGCCGCCTTCCCTGTCCCCCATACCCCGCTCCCCCGCCCATTCCCTGCAAAGTGAAGTGAGCTCACTTGAAGCTTAAGAAGCATTCCCATTCACTTTGAAGCTTCTTAAGAAATCTTCACTCTGTCACTCTTCCTCTTGCCTTCCCTTGCCTTGAAAATCACCAAACAGCCCCTAAACTCACACTTCCCAATTCTCTCCCATTGCTCCTCACAAACCCCTCCCACCCACCCCCTCCCCCCTCTCAGTGACCTGTCTCTGAACTCTGATCTCTCCGGCTCTCTCCCCTCCATCATTGGTCAACTGACCGGCCTTCAAATGCTGTTAGTGCCATGGTCCCTCTCCTAGTGCACTGGCCCCTCTTCTTATACGCTGACGGCTCTCGTGCCTGTTTCAAATGGCGTTACAGTACAGCCTCTCTTCCTGCAAGCAGTGCTTTCACCCTCTCTCCCACCCCTCCCTCCCCCTCTCCTCCCCCCCTCTCTTTCACCCCTCTCCTCTCCCCTCCTCCCTCTCTCCCACCCATGCGTGCTTGCTGCACAGCCCGCTAAAGCAAACGGGACTTTCAGGGGAGCTGTGGGATAAATGTTGTGTTTTGAGACGTCTCAAAGCACTCCCCCTCCTCTCTCTCTCCCACCCACCCATGCCGGCTTGCCTCACAGCGCGCTACAGCAAACGGGAATCAAAGGAGAGCTGCCCCCTTCTGTGTTTGGCCTCACGGATCTAAGCCATCTGTAAGCTTCCTCAGTTTGAGCATCCCCGGTACACGAATCCACCATTCCATCGCCATTCAAATCGCCAGAGAATTATAAAATTCGAGAAAGAAAAATTCCCCCAGTGACCTCTCCTGTCCCTCCAACTCTCGCCCGCTTCCCCTTTCTCCCAGTGACCTCTCCCGTAATCCCAACCTCACGGGCTCTCTTCCCTTCACCAGAAATCAATGTACCCTTCCATTGTGCCATCAACAGTTCTCATCACACTCCTTATGACCCTTATACCCATTCATTCCCTCCTTTCCCCCCTCATCCCTCCATATCCCTCCTTAATCCCTCTCACCCCCCCTTATCCCCCCATACTCCCCTCTTATTCCCCATTTCCCCCTTATTCCCCCCTCCTCCCCTCTTATTCCCCTCCCCCCTCCACTTCTTGCAGGGACCTTTCCTTGAACCCCACCCTCAAGGGCTCTCTCCCCTCCACCATAGGAGCCCTCACTCGCCTCCAGTGCCTGTACGTGTCATTTCTCAATTGGTCCTTTGTTTTAGATGCATAGGATACATCCATGGCAGGGGATAAATGAAGTAAAGTTCTCTCTGTCCTGCCCGTGCTCTCTCTCTCTCCCACCGTTGTCTCCCCATGCCACGTTTGCCTCCTTATAGCGGCATGGCATCTGGAATAGCTGTTGCTGCAGTATTCTTCTCTCAGAGACTTAGAACCACAGCAAGGTCTGTGCATGGCATCTGGGCTTATGCCGTGTTTGCCTCAGACGGATTCGAACCGCAGCAAGCCCTGTGCCCTCAATTGATCTTAACCAAGAAAGACGTAGAAAAAAGAACTGCAATGAGTCACTTAGTAAAGAACTGCAATGAGTCACTTAGTAAAGAACTGGAGGCGTATGTACGTTTCGGCCAGAGCCGTCGTCAGTGCCCTTGCAGTATTCTCCTTGGATGCCGTCTTGGATTCTTCGTGCCCTTCTCGTTTCTGAGATGCTCTTCTGGAATGCCCTTCTGGAATGCCCTTCTAGAATGCCCTTCTTGAATGCCCTTCTCTTTCCTTTCCTCGTTTTTGCCAGGGCACAGCAAGCTTCTCGTCCCCTACCACTTCCCCCTTCCTTTCCCATTCCACCTGTCCGCTCTCCCCTCCCCTTCCTTCCCCTCCGCTCCCGTCTCTTACAGTTCTTCGTTCGGGTGTGCTAATACCCATACTCCCCCTCCCCTCCCCTCCCCTCCCCTTCCCTCCCCTCGCCTCCCCTCCCCTTCCCTCCCCTCGCCTCCCCTCCCCTTCCCTCCCCTCGCCCCCCTTCCCTCCCCTCGCCTCCCCTCCCCTTCCCTCCCCTCCCCTCCCCTCCCCTTCCCTCCCTCGCCTCCCCTCCCCTCTCCTTCCCTCCCGTCGCCTCCAACTTCCACTTTGCAGGTATTTGTACGGGTGTGAGTTGTCAGGCTCGATTCCAACGACAATTGCTACTATGGCCAGTCTCAGTCGACTGGATATCAATGACAACTATTTCTCGGGACCCCTTCCCACCGCGGTGAGCTTCGAGGCGACTCAAAAGTTTGGAATTGACTCAAATGGCATTTATCGCTTGGGACCCCTTCCCACGGTGGAAAGTCTTTGCAAAAGGCTTGTTTATGAGGCGCCTCAATGAAGGAAACCCTTCCCACTGTAGTAACTCTTTGCAGGTTGTTTGCTGTTCGGGTTCCTGATGTTGACACGTGTCCACACAACAGCGTGCGATGGGAGGGAGGGTAGTTGATTTTTACGTAAGCCAGTGTGTATGTCTGCTTGAGTGTGCATGCATGCGTATGTGTGCGTGTGCGTGCGTGCGTCTGCGTGCGTCTGCGTGCTTGCGAGTAACCCTGTATACACCCTGTACCCTGTAACCCTGTAACCGTGTAACCCTCTCTCATCCCTCTCTCATCACCCTTCTCGCGGCTGTTCTGGACGTAGCAATGAGCTGATCGGGTCTGTTTTGAGACGGCGCAAAGCGAATTTATCATCACACGGACATAACAACGAGCTGAACGGATCGGCGGATCTGTGCCTACATTCGGTGCCAGCACAAGCCTCTCTGTACGCCTGGAGTAATCTCGCTTTCCCCCCTCCCTTCCCCCTCCCTTCGCCCTCCCTTCCCCCTTCTCTTCCCCCTCCCTTCCCCCTCTCGCAGCTCTTCTTCTTTGGCGTGACCAGCAACGCGCTGAACGGGTCTATGCCCGCGTTAGCTTACAGCCCAACCCAATGCATCCCCCATCCCATCACCATTTCCCAGTCCAGATGCGCTTCCCAGTCCAGATGCGCTTCCCAGTCCAGATGCGCTTCCCAGTCCAGATGCGCTTCCCAGTCCAAATGCGCTTCCCAGTCCAGATGTGCTTCCCAGTCCCAGCCTCTCACAGCTCTTCTACTTTGGCGTGACCAGCAGCCAGCTGTCTTGACCCCCTGGGACCTTACAGCCCGGTTACTCCCTGTGATACTCCCAACCCAATGTGCCGCTGCCAGATGCACAACCTTTTTGAGGCGCCTCAAAATCCCTGGGACCTTACAGCCTGGTGACTCCTTGTGATACTCCCAATGTGCCGCCAGATGCACAACCTCTGGCAGCTGTTCTACTTTGGCGTGACCAGCAGCCAGCTGAACGGGTCTGTGCCTGCATTCGGTGCCAGCCAGCACAACCCTCTTAGTTCCTGGAGTAACCCTCTCTCATCTCATCCCTCTCATCCCTCTCATCCCTCTCATCCCTCTCATCCCTCTCATCCCTCTCATCCCTCTCATCCCTCTCATCCCTCTCATCCCTCTCATCCCTCTCATCCCTCTCATCCCTCTCATCCCTCTCATCCCTCTCATCCCTCTCATCCCCCTCTTCCCTTCCAGATGCGCAACCTCTCGCAGCTCTACTACTTTGACGTGACCAACAACCAGCTGCACGGGTCTGTGCCCACGTTTGGCACCAGAGTGGGGCACCTGTGAGTGAAGCTACGAGTGTTCTGGGGTCAGATTCTCTCTGCTGGGGATCAGATTTTCTCTGTTGGGCATCGGATTCTCTCTGTTGGGGATCGGATTCTCTCTGTTGGGCATCGGATTCTCTCTGTTGGGGATCGGATTCTCTCTGTTGGGCATCGGATTCTCTCTGTTGGGGATCGGATTCTCTCTGTTGGGCATCGGATTCTCTGCTGGGGATCGGATTTTCTTCTGCAGCTTCTTTATCACCTGTATGTCTGTGACCAGCTGTATCGAACGAGAGTGCAGGCATGCCAATGCATCTACCCACCCACACCCTCCGCCCCCACTCCCACCCCGCTCCCTCCCCACTCCCACCCCGCTCCCACCCCACTCCCACCCCACTCCCACCCCACTCCCACCCCACTCCCTCCCCACTCCCACCCACCCCACTACCAACCCACTCCCCTCCCACTCCCTCCCCACTCCCACCCCACTCCCTCCCCACTTCCACCCCACCCCCTCCCACTCCCACCCCACTCCCTCCCCACTTCCACCCCACCCCCTCCCACTCCCTCCCCACCCCCTCCCCACTCCCTCCCCACTCCCTCCCCACCCCTCCCCACCCCCTCCCCACTCCCTCCCCACTCCCACACCATCCACCGCAGGCACTTGAGTAACAACCTCTTCACATCGCTTCCTTCCCACCTGGGCTCGCTGCACAATCTCGTTCACCTGTAAGCGTCTGCATCTGGCTTAAAGATTGAGTTCTGAGAACAACTTGAGCACTTGGTTGTACCAACCAAGCGAGTACTGTTGACGTCTGTTTTTCCTTCTGTCTGTGAGAGCCGAATCTTGCGACTGCTTCTCTCTGAGAGAAGCAATCGCGAGGCTGAAGACCTCGCGAAGAACTACGCTTCTCTCTGAAAAGAGCTATGGCTGGAGGGAGCACTCCTGAGTAGCAACCATTTCACACTGCTAGGATGTGTCTTGTTTTTGAAATTTCTCAAAAGCAAAACACATCCTATGTGTCTCTCTGAGAAGAGCTATGGCTGGATAGAGAACTCCTGAGTAGCAACCTCTTCACACTGCTCCCTTCTTAACTGACCCCTTTTGAGGCGCCTCAAAAGTTGAACTATGACTGAAGACCTCTTGAGTAACAACCGCTTCACACAGTTTCCTTCGCACTTGACCTCTCTGCAACATCTCGTCCGTCTATTTGTACGCCTCTGTATTTTCCATGCCCCCGTCCCCACGCCCGAATAAGCATCTTCCCGTTTCCCCTTCCCAACAAACTTCCATCCAACAATCGCGCTTCCCAATAAGCTTCCTTCCCAACAATCCCCCTTCCCAACAATCCCCCTTCCCAACAAAAACATACCCTTTCCCCCCATTTTTCCTTCCCAACAAAAACAGACCCGTGTCAATTAAAAACAGCTTCAATCAAACATTTCCAGGATGGGTGCACCACCTGCACCGGTTGCACCACTTGCACCACTTGCACCACCTGCACCACCTATTGCGAATTCCTTCCTCCCGCTTGTCCTCATCCCCCCGTTCCCGCTTGTCCTCATCCATCACCACCAGCATTGTCGACAACAACCTCTTGAACCAGGACTTTCCAAGATGGGTCACTGGCCTCACGAAACTCCAACTCCTGTAATTATGAAGAGTGTATTTTTGCAACAACCTTGCTGCTATCGTATAGTAAACGTGTTATCACGCATTAGCATGGTTTGACCCTCTATGCCTCTCAATTCGCCCTGGTCACCACCAGTCATCCATGATGCATCCATCTTGATTAATCAATCAAGGTGACTTTTTTTTTAATTAATCGATCAAGGAGACTTTTGATTAATCAACAGTCGCAAGCCTTTTTTTCCTCGTTGTCATCCTTCCCTCCTCCTCCCCTACTTTTCCTTTTTTTCTCTATTTTTTACTATTTTTCGCCCCTCCGTTCCCTTCCCGTTCCCCTTCCCTCTTCTTCACTCATCGCTCGTTCTCCTTGCCCCAACCTCGATCCTCCTCCTCCCTTTCCTCCCTCCTGGGTCAGACAACTCAGCAACAACACTATATCGGGAAAGATCACTACTCTCAAGATGACTTCTTTAGAAACCCTGTGAGTGCGCTTATAACGAGTACGAGCAATTTCAGGATGGAGAATCCTTTGTGAATTTCGCCCCTCACATGCCACCCTCATGCCCCTCGCGTGTCCTTACTCACTAAATGCCCCTTGGCAATGGCTCCCTGCCACTTCAGGTGTTTGAGAATCCTTTGGAATCACCATCACTCGTTCCCCTTGCCTCCCATTCCCCATATGCCCAGCGCCATATGCCCAGCGCCATATGCCCAGCGCCATATGCCCAGCGCCATATGCCCAGCGCCATATGCCACTGCTCCCTGTCCTTTCCCGACCCCTATACCTCTCGCAACCGCTCCCTGCCGCTTCACCAGCTGTTGCTTCAGCAGCTGTTGCTTCAGCACCTGTTGCTTCAGCAGCTGTTGCTTCAGCACCTGTTGCTTCAGCACCTGTTGCTTCAGCACCTGTTGCTTCAGCAGCTGTTGCTTCAGCAGCTGTCGCCATTCTAAGGCCTTGCAGGCCCCCCGATATCCTGTGCCTCTCTGCACCATGCCATGGCCCACCACTCATGCCCCTCCCTTGCACCATGCCATGAACCACCACTCAGGCTGCTCCCCCCCACCCCCCCACGCATCAGGTCGCTCTGCAATTGCTCCATGCCACTTCAAAAGCTGCCGGCATTCTAATGGCTTCCAGACCTCGCCCACCTATGCCTCTCTTCACCCTGCCGCCATGCCCCACCATCCATGCCCCTCCCATGCGCGCCCCATTCCCCCCCCCACGCGTCAGGTCACTCTGCAATTGCTCCATGCCGCTTCAGAAGCTGCCGGCATTCAGAGAGCTTCCAAATCTCGCTCACCTGTGCGTGCGATCGTGTCATGTCATGTCATGCCATGCCATGCCATGCCATGCCATACCATGCCATGTCATGCATTGCCAACCGTGTGTGCCTTATCTGTGCGACCGTGTCATACCATGCCATGCCATGCCATGCCATGCCACCATGCCACCATGCCATGCCATGCCATGCCACCATGCCATGCCATGCCATGCCACCATGCCATGCCATGCCATGCCACCAAGCCATGCCATGCCATGCCATGCCATGCCACCATGCCATGCCATGCCGTGCCATGTCATGCCTTGCTAAGCGTGTGTGCCTCCTTATCACGTCTTGCTTACGGTGCAACCGTGTCATACCATGACATACCATACCATACCATACCATACTATACCATACCATGCCACACCTACCATGCCATGCCGTGCCATGCCTTGCTAACCGTGTGTGCCTCATTTCCTGCCTATCTGTGCGGCCTTGCCATGCCATGCCATGTCATCTCATCTCATCTCATCTCATCTCTTGCTTATCTGTACTGTCGTGCCACGCCATGCCATTCAATGCCATCCCATGTCATGTCATGTGTTTCCATTGCACTAACTTTATCAGATCTTAACTCACCATCTTCCTCGAATCACCCATCCCTGCTCTCACGATCGCCATTCAAACATACTGTAATCATCAGAAATCTCGCACAATAGAGTGCTGTTATGTGAGAGAGCGCTTAGAGAGCCATGGATTGCTTATAGACTCGCTATTGTGTCCCCCGCTGCCTCGCGTTGCAGAGACTTGAGCGAGAATCAGTTCAATGGGACCATCTCTAGTGATCTCTTCACCGCCCACTCCAGACTCGGCACCTTGTGAGAGCTACGCGACACGACGCGGTGACTTTTGAGTCTTTTGAGGCGGTGACTTTTGAGGCGGTGACACCGCTAGCATCCATTCCATATCGCATCCTCAGCTCTTGTAGCACCCTCGTAGCCCCCTCGTAGCCCCCTCGTAGCCCCCTCGTAGCCCCCCCCTCGTAGCCCCCTCGTACCCCCTCTACCCCCTCCGTAGCCCCCTCGTAGCCCCCTCGTAGCCCCCCCCCCCTCGTAGCCCCCTCGTAGCCCCCTCGTAGCCCCCTCGTAGCCCCCTCGTAGCCCCCTCGTAGCCCCCTCGTAGCCCCCTCGTAGCCCCCTCGTAGCCCCCTCGTAGCCCCCTCGTAGCCCCCTCGTAGCCCCCTCGTAGCCCCCTCGTAGCCCCCTCGTAGCCCCCTCGTAGCCCCCTCGTAGCCCCCTCGTAGCCCCCTCGTAGCCCCCTCGTAGCCCCCTCGTAGCCCCCTCGTAGCCCCCTCGTAGCCCCCTCGTAGCCCCCCTCGTAGCCCCCTCGTAGCCCCCTCGTAGCCCCCTCGTAGCCCCCTCGTAGCCCCCTCGTAGCCCCCTCGTAGCCCCCTCGTAGCCCCCTCGTAGCCCCTCGTAGCCCCCTCGTAGCCCCCTCGTAGCCCCCTCGTAGCCCCCTCGTAGCCCCCTCGTAGCCCCCTCGTAGCCCCCTCGTAGCCCCCTCGTAGCCCCCCTCGTAGCCCCCTCGTAGCCCCCCTCGTAGCCCCCTCGTAGCCCCCTCGTAGCCCCCTCGTAGCCCCCCTCGTAGCCCCCTCGTAGCCCCCTCGTAGCCCCCTCGTAGCCCCCTCGTAGCCCCCTCGTAGCCCCCTCGTAGCCCCCTCGTAGCCCCCTCGTAGCCCCCTCGTAGCCCCCTCGTAGCCCCCTCGTAGCCCCCTCGTAGCCCCCTCGTAGCCCCCTCGTAGCCCCCTCGTAGCCCCCTCGTAGCCCCCTCGTAGCCCCCTCGTAGCCCCCTCGTAGCCCCCCCCCCCTCTCACCCCCCACCTTCCCTCTCCCCCACCCCCCTTCCCTCCCACCATCCCCCCCTTCCCTCCTTCCCATCAGAAAACTCCAGAAGAACAATCTTACGGGTGTAATTCCTCCTGAGATTATCAACGCATCTCTTCTCCATCTGTCCACACTGTAAGGCACAAGCCAGATGAAGCATTTCTTCTCTCCTCCCCATGTCTGCTTTTGAGTCGACTCAAAAACAAACCAGCTCAGGCTCCTCTTATCTCCTGCCCATGTTGCACGACACATTTTCTCTGATAGGTAACTAGCTGTCGTTGAGTGATCATCAACACATTTCCTAGTTTTGAGGCGCCTCAAACTAGACTCACTATCACGCGGTTCTTGAGGCGCCTCAAAACTAGACTCCTATCACATGGTTTTTGAGGCGCCTCAAAACTAGACTCCTATCACGCGGTTTTTGAGGCGCCTCAAAACTAGACTCCTATCACATGGTTTTTGAGGCGCCTCAAAACTAGACTCCTATCACGCGGTTTTTGAGGCGCCTCAAAACTAGACTCCTATCACATGGTTTTTGAGGCGCCTCAAAACTAGACTCCTATCACGCGGTTTTTGAGGCGCCTCAAAACTAGACTCCTATCATGCGGTTTTTGAGGCGCCTCAAAACTAGACTCCTATCACGCGGTTTTTGACGCGCCTCAAAACGATGCATTTTCTCTGATAGGTAACAAGCTGTCGTCGAGTGATCATAACATAACCACATTTCCTTCTTCTCTCATGCGTGTGACAGAGGCCAGCACATTTCCTGTAACTCTAGGCTGTGCATGCTTCTCCCTGGGACTCATTCCCCACTCCACACAGATGCCTGTTGGGCAAAAGACTATTGGGCTCAGTGCCCAGCCTGCTCAATCTCTCCTCTTAGAGACAGAGGCCAGCAGAGTCTCCTCCAGGCCGTGCATGCTGCTGCGCTGCCTATCCGGCTGTTCACCTTGCCATGCGTGCTGCATTTGGCTCATTCCCAAATCCCTGCAGGTACCTGTCAGTCAGGCAACAACCTCACGGGCCCAGTGCCCAACCTGCTCAAGATTCAAGATCCCATCGCTGAACTTCACCCATCTCTATGACAACCACTTTGCCGACGCTCCCCAATCCCTGCAGTTACTTGTCAGGCAACAACCTCACGGGTCCAGTGCCCAACCTGCTCAAGATCCCCTCATTGACGTTCATCAATCTATACGACAACCAGTTTAGCGGGGCTCCCGACAAGCTACTCACCAACGCAAACGTCACCGACAGAAACGTCAGCTTGCAGTGAGTGAAGAGAGGGTTTGAAGGGGGGGGGGGGGGGGGAGGAGGGGGAGGGGGGGGGGTTGAGGAGTTCTGAGGCGCCTCAAGCATGGCGAAGCTCATGGCGAGCTGAGCTGCTCACCAATGTAAGGTAAACGTCTCCAATAGAAACGTTAGCTTGCAGTGAGTGCAGGGCGTGTTTGAGGAGTTCTGAGTGCAGTGAGTGGGAGTTTGGGGTTTGAGGTGTGGGTGGTTTGAGATGTGGGCGGTTTGAGAAGGGGTGGTTTGCGGTGTGGGATAGCCCACATCCCCTCCAATCGCTGCCTCCCCTCTCCTGGCCCTCACCCCCTTCCAGGCTCTACGGCAATCCGCTCTGCTCACCCTACCGCACTCAAGTGGAGATAGTCTGCCTTCCCCCTACGGGCGATCTGGAGTACACCCTCCCTGCCTTCTGTGAATCAGCGCACTGCGACCCCCTCTACCCCAGCTACCCAGCCTACTACTACCCCACCGACCCCAGCATCCCAGAGGATTGCCAGTGCGTGTCGCCGCTGATAGTGGAGATTCAGTTCAGAGCGGCGCAGTACTCGGAGTTTGATCGCGAGATAGTGAGGCGGCTTGAATTGAGGATATGGAGCAGCTTGAAGGAGACGCCGATTTATGTGACGATGAAGCCAGAGCAGGTGGGTGCCTGTGGTGTGGGGGGGGGGGGAAGGGGGGAGGGGAAGGGGAGGTGGGGGGGGGGAGAGGGGGGAGGGGAAGGGGAGGCTGGGGTGAAGGTGGGAGCGCATGTCTTTTGAGTCAACTCAGAATATGACATTTTATTTCTAGAAAGCAGGTTGGCGTGACAATGAAGCCAAAGCAGGTATGTGGGTGCGTGTGGGATGGGGGGGGAGGGGATGGGGGGGGGAAGGGAGTGCATGTGTGTGCCAACTCGTTCTGGTGCATCTAAACTTACCAGCACCACCCTAACACTTTCAACACTTTCAACACTTTCTATTCCTTGTCTACCACCTGCATCCCTCCCAAAAACCCCCTCTCAGATCATTGGCATCAACATGACCAGATCCCCTTTCATGCTAAATCAGTTGAAGTGTTTTTTGAGAGAATTCGTTTTCGAGAATTCTCAAGAAACAACTTCAACTCAAAAGCCACATGACTTCACAACAACGACCATCCACTTCTTCCCGCTCACCTTTCTTTCTTTCCCCCACGTTCTTCCTCTCCTGTTCTTCCTCTCCTCTTCTTCCTCTCCTCTTCTTCCTCTCCTCTTCTTCCTCTCCTGTTCTTCCTCTCCTGTTCTTCCTCTCCTCTGCTTCCTCTCCTCTTCTTCCTCTCCTCTTCTTCCTCTCCTCTTCTTCCTCTCCTCTTCTTCCTCTCCTCTTCTTCCTCTCCTCTTCTTCCTCTCCTCTTCTTCCTCTCCTCTTCTTCCTCTCCTCTTCTTCCTCTCCTGTTCATCCTCTCCTCTTCTTCCTCTCCTCTTCTTCCTCTCCTCTTCTTCTTCCTCTCCTCTTCTTCCTCTCCTCTTCTTCCTCTCCTCTTCTTCCTCTCCTCTTCTTCCTCTCTTTCTTCCTTCCTTTCTTCCTCTCCTCTTCTTCCTCTCCTCTTCTTCCTCTCCTCTTCTTCCTCTCTTCTTCCTCTCCTCTTCTTCCTCTCCTCTTCTTCCTCTCCTCTTCTTCCTCTCCTCTTCTTCCTCTCCTCTTCTTCCTCTCCTATTCTTCCTCTCCTGTTCTTCCTCTCCTGTTCTTCCTCTCCTGTTCTTCCTCTCCTGTTCTTCCTCTCCTCTTCTTCCTCTCCTCTTCTTCCTCTCCTGTTCTTCCTCTCCTGTTCTTCCTCTCCTCTTCTTCCTCTGCTGTTCTTCCTCTCCTGTTCTTCCTCTCCTCTTCTTCCTCTCCTCTTCTTCCTCTCCTCTTCTTCCTCTCCTGTTCTTCCTCTCCTGTTCTTCCTCTCCTGTTCTTCCTCTCCTCTTCTTCCTCTCCTCTTCTTCCTCTCCTATTCTTCCTCTCCTCTTCTTCCTCTCCTATTCTTCCTCTCCTGTTCTTCCTCTCCTGTTCTTCCTCTCCTGTTCTTCCTCTCCTGTTCTTCCTCTCCTCTTCTTCCTCTCCTCTTCTTCCTCTCCTGTTCTTCCTCTCCTGTTCTTCCTCTCCTCTTCTTCCTCTGCTGTTCTTCCTCTCCTGTTCTTCCTCTCCTCTTCTTCCTCTCCTCTTCTTCCTCTCCTCTTCTTCCTCTCCTGTTCTTCCTCTCCTGTTCTTCCTCTCCTGTTCTTCCTCTCCTCTTCTTCCTCTCCTCTTCTTCCTCTCCTATTCTTCCTCTCCTGTTCTTCCTTCCTTCCCCCCTCCCCTCCCCCCCCTCTCCCTCCCCAAATTCTTTCTCAGGTCATTGTCAGCAAAATCACCACATCTCCCATCATGTCCAATACCATTACAATGACCATCCACTTCTTCCCGCCTGTAAGCGACCCGACCTGGCAGCGGGAGCCAGCAGCCGGCCAGCCCAAGGCGATAATGGCCGCGTTTGACTCCCACAAAGCATTGGATCGCAGCGACCTTGGGCCGTACACCATCGAGCGTGTCACGCTCCCTGCTAGTGAGTTTTGTGGGGCGTCGCATCAGAAACAGTCTTGTATTTCAAGGTGATCATGTTGACTCCTATAAAGCGTTGCATGGCTGCGCCTGCAGCCCACCTGTAATCCATCTACGCCCTTGGGCTGTACTGCATCAAGGGCTACACCCTCCCTGCTAGTGAGTGCTGCTGGTGTGGGTGCTGTTGGTGTGGGTGCTGCTGGTGTGGGTGCTGCTGGTGTGGATGCTGTTGGTGTGAGTGCTGTTGGTGTGGGTGCTGTTGGTGTGAGTGCTGCTGGTGTGGGTGCTGCTGGTGTGGGTGCTGTTGGTGTGGGTGCTGCTGGTGTGGGTGCTGTTGGTGTGGGTGCTGTTGGTGTGGGTGCTGTTGGTGTGGGTGCTGCTGGTGTGGGTGCTGTTGGTGTGGGTGCTGTTGGTGTGGGTGCTGCTGGTGTGGGTGCTGCTGGTGTGGGTGCTGCTGGTGTGGGTGCTGTTGGTGTGGGTGCTGCTGGTGTGGGTGCTGTTGGTGTGGGTGCTGCTGGTGTGGGTCCTGCTGATGTGGGTGCTGCTGGTGTGGGTGCTGTTGGTGTGGGTGCTGCTGGTGTGGGTGCTGCTGGTGTGGGTGCTGTTGGTGTGGGTGCTGTTGGTGTGGGTGCTGCTGGTGTGGGTGCTGTTGGTGTGGATGCTGTTGGTGTGGGTGCTGTTGGTGTGGGTGCTGTTGGTGTGAGTGCTGCTGGTGTGGGTGCTGCTAATGTGGGTGCTGTTGGTGTGGGTGCTGTTGGTGTGGGTGCTGCTGGTGTGGGTGCTGTTGGTGTGGATGCTGTTGGTGTGGGTGCTGTTGGTGTGGGTGCTGTTGGTGTGAGTGCTGCTGGTGTGGGTGCTGCTGGTGTGGGTGCTGCTGGTGTGGGTGCTGTTGGTGTGGGTGCTGCTGGTGTGGGTGCTGTTGGTGTGGGTGCTGCTGGTGTGGGTGCTGCTGGTGTGGGTGCTGCTGGTGCGAGTGCTGTTGGTGCGAGTGCTGCTGGTGCGAGTGCTGCTGGAGCGAGTGCTGCTGGTGAGTGACACCATCCCTTGCGTATCTCAAGCCCCTCCTTCAGGTAATGTCGGCTTACAGGCAGCAGCGGCAGAAGCTTCAAGGCGAGTATACCGATGAGTTGATGAAGGCCTATTGCTGGCTGAAAGGTGTTCGCACGCAACATCCGGGCCTATCGTGATTTTTGAGTCGACTCAGAAATCATCCGGGCCTATTTGTGATTTTTGAGTCGACTCAAAAATCACTTAAAGGTGTTCGCACGCAACATCCGGGCCTATTGTGGCTGGCGTTCAGCGGCAGAATCTTAAAGAGGAGTATATTTCTTAGTTCCCTTAAAACCATTTCTGAGTTCCCTTAAAACCATTTCTTCTTCCCTCAAACCCCTTCCCCCCTCCCTCGTATCTACAGCCCCTCCTGCTTCTGCCAATGCCAGCTCACCAGCAGCAACAGCAGAACCAGCATCAGGAGGAGTGTCAGTTGCAGTGATCGTGGGAGTGGTGGCAGCTGGGGTGGCTATCCTTGCTCTGCTGCTTGTGGGGCTGTATTGGTTGCTGCTGCGGCATCAAAAGAAGAAAGGTAAGCGTAAGAAAGGGGCTCACAGGGTCTCACAAATGGGAGGAGTGTCAACTGCAGTGATAGTGAGAGTGTTGGCTGGAGGGGTGGGTTTCCTTGCTCTGCTGCTTGTGCGGCGCTTCTGGCTACTACTGTGGGCCAAGTTTGTTTACAAACGGCCGCCCATCCCAGGCCGAGATTGCAAAACGTGCAGATTTTTGTCTCTAGCATACACAACTTGTAAAATACCTTTGCAGAAAAAACGAATCACCAACTGTAGGTGCGCTAAACCACCCGCACTAGGAAAACAACCATTTGGGCAACTACCGCTCAGACCGATGTATCAAGTTTCTTGTCTCGGATTTTGGCAGGGTTGCAGCACTGCCAAGTTCCAAGAGGCTCACAGCCTTGCCACTTTGAAAACCCATTGCGAAATGCAGGCAGCCTGACGAGCGCTGCCAAGTTACAGGCCCTCAAGGTGCTACACTTCGAGCAAAAGACGAGTGCAACCTGCCAGTCGGGCTTTAAGGGATTACTGCAGGATTATGGTGGATATAGTGCGTCAGTACATCCCGGAGTCTGGTCAGTGATATAATCCCATAACGGTCGTAGGAGAATAGAAAAAAGAAAGAAAGAAAGAAAGAAAGAAAGAAAAACCAAATGAAACTAGATGAAGACCAAAACTTTCAAGAGGAAAAGCGGCATAAGGAAAATACAGAAAACGGAATCAAGTGTTACAGGTAGTACTCTCACAAGGAGCTACAAGGTAAGGTGGAAAGGACTGGCTCCCAACCCTGACGTGCATGCTGGGAGAGAATTGAGGAACTTGAGATATGTGCTTCCCCACTCCCCCCCCCCACCTCTTCCCCCACACCCCCTTCCCCCACACCCCCTTCCCCCACACCCCCTTCCCCCACACCCCCTTCCCCCACACCCCCTTCCCCAGAGGATTCAGGTAAAGTATTCACAGCTTGCTGCTGGTAGGGCGGAAAGGGCTGACTCCCAACCCCGACGTGCATGCTGGGAGAGAATTGAGGAACTTGAGATGCGTGATTCCCCCCTCCCATCCCCTTTCCTCCCCCACCCCCCCCTCCCCCCCAACACACAAACCAGAGTGGCGGAAGGACAAGGACTACAAGGCCATAGAGGGGCTGCCGGTGCAAGGCGTGCACAGTGTGCTGGAGATACAAGACTCCTCTCCCTCCTCTCCCTCCTCTCCCTCCTCCCCCTCCTCTCCCTCCTCTCCCTCCTCTCCCTCCTCTCTCTGCTCTCCACCTTGCTCTCCCCTTCTTCCACAAAACAACCAGAGTGGTGGCAGGACAAGGACTACGAGGCGATCGAGGGGCTGCAGATTCAGGGAGTGCAGCGATTCATTTTGAGTCGACTCAAAATACACCCGATCGAGGGGCTGCAGATTCAGGGAGTGCAGCGATTCATTTTGAGTCGACTCAAAATACACCCGATCGAGGGGCTGCAGATTCAGGGAGTGCAGCGATTCATTTCGAGTCGACTCAAAATACACCCGATCGAGGGGCTGCAGATTCAGGGAGTGCAGCGATTCACGCTCAGCGAACTGGCATGCGATCCCCCTCCCATTCTCCCACTCTACTCCACACCTCCCCCCACCCCACCCCTCCTCCTCCCCCTCTCTCCTATCCCCTCATGCACCAGAGTGGTGGCAGGACGAGGACTGCGAGGCCATCGAGGGGTTGCAGATTCAAGAAGTGCAGGGATTCACGCTCAAGGAGCTGGGGGCACGAATCCCCCCACTCGCTCCCACCCTGTTATTGCTATCCCCTCCCCCCCTCCACACACACACACACACACACACACTCACACACACACACACACACACACACACACACACACACACACACACACACGCCAGAGTGGTGGCAGGACGAGGACTACGAGGCCATAGAGGGGCTGCAGATTCAAGGCGTGCAGCGATTCAAACTCAAGGAGCTGGCGGATGCCACTGAGGGGTTCAGCTCGCTGCTGGGGGAGGGCGGATACGGACAGGTGCGAACAAAGAAAGAGGGTATGGGGTTGTTGAGAGGCTAGGGATGCGGCCAGGAGGGGTTCAGCACGCTGCTGGGGGGGGGGGATACGATACAGTCAGGAGGTGTTTTGAGAATGCTAAAAAATCTCTCACAGGAAGGGTTCAGCGTGCTGCTAGGGGAGGGGGGATACGGACAGGAGGTGGGAACTTTGAGTAGGGTATGTGATCACGTGAGGTTGTTGAGATGTTAGAACAGCGACCTGGTATGACTGACTGATCGAAGAGCACGCCTAACATCTCAACAGCATGCCAAGGGGTTCAGCATGCTGCTAGGAGGGCATGTGTACGGACAGGTATGTATGCGCGTACAGCAGGGGGCATGAGGGAGGGTGTGGTGATCATACCAGCAGAAGGCAGGTATGTATGTATACCACACCCTGCCTTACAGCAGAGGGCAGGCATGAACACCACACACACCCTGCCTGCCTGCCCATCACCATCTCCGTTTCCATCCTTTCTTCATCCTTTCTTAGACTTCTCTTTCCTCCTTCCCTTTCTTCGCCCTCTTCCCCTCCCACTCCTTCCCTCACTCCCACTCCCCCCCCCTTCCCTTTTCTTCCCCTGACTGTCGTTGTAACGAATAACAGCTGTACCACGGAGTGCTGCCTTCCACGAATAACAACGTAGCTCGTCCTGCCTCTATCCCCCGTCGCCCACTCCTGTTGCCCCACCAATAAATAACAGGTGTACCATGGCGTGTTGCCATCTGGCGAAACTGTCGCGGTCAAACGGTCCAAGCCAGGAGTGCAGGTGAGGAACAGCAGTGTCCAAGCGTGTTTAGGATGTCGCGAAGCCCATTCTGAAAAGGGCGTTTTCTGAAACGTTTTAAGAGCGCTCTTGAGTGTAGGTCCTTCTAGAGGGGACCTCAATGTCTCTTTAAGCACACTCCGTCTGTCTCTTCCACTCCCTTGACCTGTCTACACCCCCTTCGCCTTTCTATAACCCTTTATCTGTATCCGCTAGGAGAATGGGAAGGAGTTCCGCAGCGAAATAGAGCTGCTTTCAGCAGTGCGCCATCGCAACCTGGTGCTGCTGATCTACTCACCGTCTACCACACTCTCTACCACTCTCTACCGCACTCAATCCCTTCACCATTGTATACTTCCAGGTGAACGGGAAGGAGTTCCGCAACGAGATCGAGCTGCTGTCAGCAGTGCGCCATCGCAACCTGGTGCAGCTGAGGGGCTACTGTTGACCATACCGCACTCCCTTATTCTTCCTGCAACCTCGCAACCCCGGCACTTTAGGGGCTGCTGTTGACCATACCACTTCCCCCCCCCCCCTCAACACCTCCCAGGTGAACGGGAAGGAGTTCCGCAACCAGATCGAGCTGCTGTCGGCAGTGCGCCATCGCAACCTGGTGCTGATAAAGGCGTCTGCTCACCTTCCAACACACTTACCACCACTCTCTACCGCACTCAATCCCTTCACCGTTTTGCACCCCCAGGTGAACGGCAAGGAATTCCGCAACGAGATCGAGCTGCTGTCGGCGGTGCGCCATCGCAACCTGGTGCTGCTGAGGGGCTTCTGCGTGGAGCAGGGCGAGCAGCTGCTGGTGTATGAATTCATCGAGAGAGGGACGCTGGAGGACATGCTGAGAGGTGAGTTAAGGTGTTAATGGGGTGTAGGGTGGTGCAAAGCGGTAGTGGACTACTGCGTGGAGGAGGGCGAGCAGCTGCTGGTGTATTAATTCATGGAGAGAGGCATGCTGGAGGATATGCGCGCTGCGAGGTGAGGATGAGTGAAGAAGTGCGGTTTAACACGGATGAAAGGCGATGGAAAGGGACGTCTGTTGCGTGGAGGAGGGGGGGCAGCTGCTGCTGTATGAGTTTATCGAGAGAAGCAAGCGGGAAGACATGCTGCGAGGTGGGTGGTGGAGGTTGGGGGTTGGGGGTTGAGGGTTGGGGGTTGGGTTGACCCCCAACCTGGTGCTGCTGTGGGGTTTCTTCAGAAGAAGCCATTGTGAGGAGTTGGCTGGACGACGGCGAGGCTATTTCTGAGGCAACTGTGGGGAGCGGGGAGCAGCTGCTGCTGGCGTGTGAACTTATTTCTCTCCCTCATGAGCGTCATACTCTCTCCCTCATGAGCATCATACTCTCTCCCTCATCCCCTCACAATGCACCTCCAGGCAAGTCTGGCGCACCCCTGTCGTGGCAGCAGCGGCTGGACATCGCGTGTGGAGCGGCGAGGGGGTTTGCCTACCTGCACCACCAGATCAAGCCACCCATCATCCACCGCGACGTCAAGGTGGGAGGGGTGGGGTGGAGTGGGGTGGGGTGGAGTGGGGTGGGGTGGGGTGGGGTGGAGAGGGGAGGGGAGGGGAGGGGTTGCTTGTACTTACCTGCACCACCAGATCAAGCCACCCATCATTCACCACGATGTCAAGGTGGGTGAGAGCGGTGGGGTTGGGTTGGGTGGGAGGGTGTTTGCATGCTCACGCATGTGTTGGTGTGTGCATCTGCATGTGTGTGTGTGTGCGCCTGTGCTTACCTGCACCACCAGATCAAGCCGCCCATCATCCACCGCGACGTCAAGGTGGGTGGGAGGGTGGTGGGCGTGTGAGGGAGTGTGTGGGAGGGGAGGGGTGGGGTGGGGTGGGTGGGGTGGTGGGTAGGGTTCGCTAGTGCTCCCCTGCACCAACACGAGATCATGCCAGCCATCATTCCAGCCATCATTCAATGAGACATGATAGGTGGAGATGGGTCATCATCATGCCCATCATGCCCATAATGTCAATGATGCCCATCATGCCCATCATGCCCATCATGCCCATGATGCCCATGATGCCCATGATGCCCATCAAGGAGATGGGTGGGAGTGTGGGTTGTGGGATATGATGCTTATTGTACTTAAGTAAATGTCGGCCTCTCTCCCAACCCCCGTTTCCACTTTATCTTCCCCCCCCAACCTAAACCCCTCTCCACCGCACCCGAATGCAGACGGCCAACATCCTGATCACCGGGTCAGGGGAGGCCAAGGTGGCGGACTTTGGGATCTCCAAGGCGGTGCTGGAGGAGGGGGTGCGGCTGGACACTCAGATCAAGGGCACTGTGGTGAGTGGCTGCAGAAATTCGGGCTGTAAAGATGAGTTATTACAGGTGTGACTCTAGGTGGCGGACTTTGGGATCTCCAAGGCAGTGCTGGAGGAGGGGGTGTGGCTGGACACTCAGATCAAGGGCACCGTGGTGAGTGGTTAAAGGGAGGTATGACTACAGGTAAGTGTGACACCAACGAGGTGTTATTCTAGATACGAGTGGCTGCAGGTGTGTCGTTGGAATGTCGAAGGCGGTGGTGGAGGAGGGGGTGCAGCTGGACCCCTAGATCAAGGGCACGGTGGTGAGTGGATGGAAGCAGGGGCCCCTATGCATCCTGTGAGCGCGGTATACCAAAAGTGAACATGCACGCTTCACAGGATGCATAGGGGCCCCTGCTGCACAACTTGAAAAGCACCATGCTGCTCGAGAGATCGCCACGGGGCTGTGGCCAGTCAGAGTCCACTTTCGAGTCGGCTCAAAAGCAGCGCTCCCTTGATTTGGTTTGCCACAGGCCTCTGGCCAAGTTACCCCACCCTTCCCCCGTCTCCCTCTTCCCTCCCTCCCCTCCTCCCCACAACCACAACCTGCCCAGGCCTACCTGCACCCCGAGTACTACCTCCAACACCTCCTCCCCACAGCCACAACCCCCCCTTTTTCAGGCCTACCTGGACCACGAGTACTACCTCTCGCACCTCTCCCACGTTTGGCCCTTATATACCCCTCCTCGCCCTTCCTGGACCACCCTCTTTGTTCCCTCGAACCCACGGCTACCTGCACCCCGAGTACTACCTCTAGTGCCTGCCCTTCAACTCTTATACCGCCCCTCCCCACCCAGGGCTACCTGGACCCCGAGTACTACCTCTCGGACCTGCTCACCGAGAAGAGCGACGTCTTCAGCTTCGGCATCGTGCTGCTGGAGATCGCCACAGGGCTGCGGCCAATCACGGAGCAGCAGCACATCCGGCAGATCGTCATCAAACGCGTCATGGCCGGTGGGGGCGTGTTCAGCGTCATCGACCTAACGCTGCTGGAGGCTCATGGGGAGGTGGGGGAGGTGGGGGAAGACGCAGAGGGCAAACGGCAATCCCAAGGCAATCCCGGGGACTTGGAGGACCAAAGGCAATCCCGGGGTGATAGTTCTCCAGGGGGTATTCCCAAGGAGGTGGAGGCGACGTTTGAGTGGTTTCTGAAGCTGGGGATGCGGTGCAGTGGGCGGCATTCGCAGGACCGCCCCACCATGATCCACGTGGCCACTGAGCTGGACGCCATGCGGGCGAGAGTTATCCAGATCACAGGGCTCCGGGGAGGAGCTGCTGCTGGTGGCAGTGGTGGTGCTGCTGATGCTGCTGTCAGTGGTGCCATTCCTGCTGGCACCACTCCAACCGTCAACACTGGTGCTGGTGCTAGCAGTGCTGTGGGTGCGGGTGCGGGTGCGGGCGCGGGCGCGGGTAGCGAGCCAGGGTTCTGGGAGGAAATGGCAGGCGAAGGGGCTCTGGTGGCAGGGTTCAACGATGCCGAAGATGATGATGAGTATGGGCAGGAGATATATGATGAGATGATGCGTGAGGCTGGTGAAGCCAAGGGTAAGACAGGTACGACAGAGAGGGTCACTTCTAAGAGTGTGGAGAGAGGGTATACAAGCGGCAGCAGTGGAGGTGCCTGGAGAGAGGGGGGGTCGACAACAGGTTGGACGACAGACAGCACCCCAAGCAGAGAGATTTGAAATGTTGAAATGTGGCCAGCCTTGGAGGGGGACATCAAATAGTGTTGGTTAAAGCATGCTCTCAATAAGACGTCCACTGTAAATTTAGAATAATATGCTCCGCGTGAGCAAGTGATGGGTTTTGCTTCTGGTTTCTGTTTCGTGCCTCGTTTTCTTTTTTCCTTTTGTGGCTCCAACTTCCAAGCAGATATGCATAATATTTGGAGTTGTAATTAGGCTTGAGCAATGGGTCGGGTCGACATTTGCGGAGGGTCGACTCGACCCTCGGGTGCCCGACCCGACCCGACCCGAAATCGGGCCAGGTAGTACCCGACCTATTAAACCCGGGTCGGGTTGACATTTCCTGAATGTCAGGTTTTGCCTGAACTCCACCACCTGGCTACATAAGTGGGTTTTGCCTACGCACTAGAATGGCTGAACGGGGTTCTCAGAGAACACACGAAGTGCTGTGACACAATTATGGTGGTTCAGTTTTGGTGAACCACATCGAGTCAAGCAAACCAGAGCTGCTGTAGTGCAATGCTTAGGGCTGGCACTAAAGTACGTATCTTCTTCAACAACGAGTTCAGTTACCACTTTTAGGTGTGTAACCATAAAACATCCTCTGTTATGAATGAACAAGCAGAGTAGCGCGGAAATGAATAACGAAGTGTTCACTCAATGAATGACGATACAAGGAATGGCAAGCCAAGATATAGGAACACCAGAGCTAGTCTAACCATGCGATGGGAAGGTTCGGGAAGGAGATCGAAGGGTCTCGAAGTGACGACGCGAGGCCTGGAGAACTCCCGAAGGTCAAACCGAAAGGTCTGGAGAAGCCGAGGCGGTTCTGTCAGAAGGTCTGGAACAGTCCCGAGGCTTCGGGTGTGTTCGAGCGTACGCGATAGCAGTACCGCTCGGTAAGGAATAGAAAATTCCTTACATCCCCGAACAAGACCCGCTCAGCTCACATCCGAAATTAGCGGACACCAGCGCGCGTTTCCAGGGACCTCCGCATAACAAAAAAAAGACCACACAACTATCCAGTTTGCCAGCCAGTACCAGCACCACCTCTAGCGAAATTCTCTAGCAACACTTTGGAGCCTCGCACGTCGCTAGCGAAGAACCTACCCCCGATGCGCCGATTGGACCTCTTTTTCTTACACGCGCATCGCGCTGGTTTCGAATGGCAAGACCCCATTACCCGCTCCTATGTCTGTGCTGGTCTAGGTGCTCTCTTTTCGAACTGCTCCCTTCATTTCGGACCTGGTCCCAAATCAGGATTTTGTTTCAAACTTGATTCACATTGCGTACTGTCAAACGGCTCCGCGTGTCAGAAACGGGTACGATTTTTGGGAACACGACCCTACACTTCCAGCGCCCTGCATGCCCACCGCCATTATTGCTAGACTGCTGCAAAGGCGAGGCGGCTCGAGCAACACCAGCCAGTGCTTGGCTCAACATACCAGCGGGGTGAGCATATAAGCGGCGCTTTCATGTCATCTCAGCAGTAGCCTTCTATCAGCCTTCCTCAATTGCCTATTGTGAGCACTGCAGTTGCATAATCTCGATATTCACCTATTGCTTCCATCCTAAGGGAAGCTTTCAGTCTCGTGCAATGGCCGTCGACGCTGGAAAGTCAGCTCGCCGCTTTCTGTTTTCAGTTTTCCTCGTCGTTCTGATTTTTGAATCCGCAAATGGCGCCGACACCGTCTCGACGACTGACTGTTCCTACTGTGGAACTGACGTGGCCTGCATCAAGCAACGCACGGTGATCCACTTATTGTGACACACAGATTATGCTGTTGTTTTCCTTCCGCGGAATTTCAGTTTTGCCCGTCACACGACACCCGAAGTTTATCTCGAAAGTTGCATTTTCGCCAATTTCGCCACCTTACTTGCCGTCTGTCTCAAGCTGGGCCAACACAAACTAACTCGAGTCTTCCATTTCCCCTGCCAACCATCATCGCTACTGCTATGATCTCCCGTTTTTTCGCAATGCGAGGCTCCAGACATGAAACCAACCCTGTGCATCTACAGTTCTACATCCTCGAAATTCTTTAAGTCCTTATCCAAAGCCACACAATTCTGTAAGCCCTTATCCAAATCCTCACAATTCTGTAAGTCCTTATTCAAGGCCACACAATTCTGTAAGTCTGTATCCAAATCCTCACAATTATGTAAGTCCTTATTCCCTTGCGCTTCACGATGTCTACATTTCTGTTTAGACACAGCAGCTCCATCCAAACATAATCAAATATCCTCTGCCATGCAGCGCCACAGGTTTGATATACTCCCCACATTTGCCCCTATTTCCGGCTTCTGCCGTCATTCCCGCTGGCAGATGGCGACTCAGTCACCTGCAAGTACGCCTGCTGGCCGCGCATACTGCTTTTCTGTCTCGGAGGCGCGCTCGTCCTCACCCTTATCGGCGTCTCCATCTTCCTCATCGTGCGCTGCAACCGCAAGCGTGCCGCGGAGCAATACGCCGCCAAGGCCGGGCCCGCAGGAGCAGGCTATCCGCCCGCAGGCAACGTGTAGCTAGAACATTAGCAACTTTAGTGGCTAGTACAGTAGCTAGTACAGTGGCGAGTGCAATGGCTGGTCCAGGAGCTCCCCTTCTTCCATGAAGAAGTGCCTCTGCAGCAGTAGTAACGAGGCAAATAAGGAGTTCTAGCCGTGATGCAGCAATGGCCGCTTGCTTAGCCCTAAGTTTTATTTGAATAGAATGCGTGCAACACCTTCAATTGAGTACACAGCTATCCTAATTTGTGACCTATATTTCTTACTGTGGAACCTACTCCGTCAAACCGACTGCGCATTATCACATCAGTAGCAAAACGATAGTAAACATACTACTAAGTGTACCGTATAAGGTTCTCCATATTCATAATTGATTCATGTAAAGGCCTATACAAGATCCTTTCCCTGCAACACACCCGGGGATTCTCTTATCGGGTGAACGTCTTTCCATGTCAAACGCTAGTCCTGTACCAATGCCAGTCAGCAGCTGCCGTAAATCTCCGCAACCGAAAATATCGGACCCGCGCACAACACAACTTCACTAAATCTCACTTTCAGTTCTCTAAGGGCGGGTCCAAATAGTTCACACCCTATTCATTTCGGGAAAAGTAACTCGATTTTAACAACACCTTGTTTAAGGTTTCGCCATGACACGACTGAAATATTGGTGTAACCTGGGACACCCTTCACATGCGTCGGGCCATGTACCAGATTTCGGATTGCAAACGTAAACGAGCCGGAAGGTGCAAGATTCGGGGGCGGGGTTCCAGGTGTGTCGCGCCTAGATATCGTCCCGCTGGCGATTGCGAAAATCAGGCGACGTCGCGAATGCATCTGCGATGACTGCCCCCCATGTTTTGTCGCGCTCGCAAGTACCTAAGCGAGGGAAGATTCCCCCGCTTGTTGATTGGCCCCTTAGCTCGCCGATGCCCATGCTGTTGTCCAGCGCTATTCCACCCAGCCTCGGACGGTCGTCTAATCCTCCCCATGCTCTTTCCTGACCTTGCGTCGTTCCCCACTGTTGCCGACCTGGCCGCTCACCTGTGCACCATAGACGAGACATGGCGTGCTGCCTGCACTCCCACACAGCTTCTAGCCCACCAGCCGCCCCTCACCTCTACTCTCTACCTGTTAGCAACCCGCCTCCCTGACCGTCTTGCCACTGCTCATGACCGCTTTCTTAGCGTCCACCCCGCGACCTTACCCTCACTGACTTTGTTAACACCCTGTCCGCTATAGAGGCCCGCCACCGCTCTATCGCTCAGTCCAGCGGTACTATGCCGGTCCCTATCTTTCAGGGTTGTGCCCCCGCTCTGTGCACCTTCTCCGACGGTTCTGTTGCTGTGGCTGAGATTGCCGCTGCCGCACAGGTTCGTCCGGGGAAGGGTCGCCGCCCCAAGGCTGGACGTGGCGACGGGGGTGGGGGTGCGGGTGTAGGTGGTGCTGGAGTTGGGTCACCTAGTGGTGGTGCTGACGCGGGGACCCTGACAGTTAAGCCGCGCAGCTGTCTCAGCAGTCGCCGGTGTTGCAGCCGGACCCGCGCCAACCGCAGCCGCCGCAGCTGCAGCCGTCGCCGCAGCCGCAGCAGTCGCAGCAGCAGTAGAGGCGGACGAGTCGTCTTCCGCCTAGGTGGCCCGGCGCTGGTGGCAGCGCTGGACGTGGTGGTGGTGCGCGTGGTGGGCGGCCGAGTGGTGGTTCGGGTGCCGCGCGCTGTCAGTACCTGCTTCAGACCGGTCCTCGCCGTGGCTTCGTTTGCGGTAAGATCGGTCATACCTCCGTCCGCTGTTTCCGTCGCCTGGACGACCTGTTTCGTCAGCGTTTCGGCCCGTCGCCCGAGCTCCCAGACTGGCACGGCTTGCTTAGTCGTAGGGTTCAGATTTTTTATCTGGATATGGATGAGATTGTTGCTGCTCTGCATGTGATGTATGCTGATGACTCTAGTGTGCTTCCGTCTTATTACCCCTTGTTGCCTAGTGTAGGTGTGCCTTGCTTAGACTCCCCTGCTGCGTCAAGCGTAGGATCCCCTGTTTTGTTTAGCCTTGGTGCTTCCGTCGCTACTTTGCCTCCGGCCGCCACTCCCGCGCTCTGATACCATATCAGAAAGAGAATGATTGAACTAGAATGTATGTATACAAGTATATATAGACTAGGGTATTGTACCGTCTAAATCACAATCCAGTATAGTCTACAGTAACGACCTAAGTTACATTTGACAATGTTTGACACACCCTCTACACTATATAGGGGTAGTGTCGAACAAGGGAATAAGCAGCTCAGGGTGGCACTACTAGTCCAGCCTCTGAGACAAGGGTCTAGAGACCAATCAAAAGGAGTACAGATAAGACAAAAGCAAGACCAGGGCGGCACTACTAGTCTAGCCGCTGGGAGAGGCCACAAGGCCAGTCTGGGTAATACATATATAGAAAGGTCTGTAAACAATCAAGGCCCTAGCAAGTGAGAGGCTACAGGAACAAGACCAAGCTGTACACAGTGCCGCTGATGATCTTTAGGCGCAAGCGCCTTCGTAAAGATATCAGCTGTGTTGGCAGCGGAGGCCAAGTGTACTACGCGAGCCTGGCGGTGCTGCTGTAGCTCACGCAGGAGGAAGTACCGCAGCTGGATGTGCTTCGCTCTGCCCTCGAGTCGAGGCTCCTAACATAGGAGGATCATGGCCCTGTTGTCAGCGTACAGGACCGGGGCAGAGCTAGGCCGCTCACCTAAGTCACTGAGCAAGAAGATCAGCCAGCGGAGTTCCTGTGCCGCCATGGCACCGGCATAGATCTCGGCCTCACAGCTGGACTGGGCCACAAACGAGGAGCAAGTAGCTCTCCACGAGACAGCACCTGAACCAAGGCTAAAGCGGTAGCCCTGCGAGGAGCTAAGAGTCACTGGGCTCTACCGACTCCTCAGGAACTGGAGCAGAGAGCCTGTGGTCTACAGACAGAGGGGTAGGCTGTGCAGAGGAGAACTGAAGGCCGAACCTCTGAAGGACGTGGCGCACCAAGTGTGACTGAGTAAGGGTGATGGTGAGCGCTGCTCTAACACTGGAGATCTGCAAGCCAAGGTAATGGCGCAATTCTCCAAGGTCAGTGCAAGTGTGTCTCTTCAGCAGCTCTGCCTTCACCGAGGCCAGTGCGTCTCTGTCTGCAGTGGTGAAGACCATGTCGTCTACGTAAAAAGGATGTAGAACGGAGTCTGGCCAGCACGAATGAAGAGCGAGGGGTCTGCAGAGGACGGAAAGAACTGCAGGTCAGCAAGCGTAGCACGCAGCGTGTCGTGCCACGCACGAGGAGCCTGTTGCATGCTGTACACAGGGCGCTGCAGTAGCCACTGGGTCCCAGGAGGGAAGGTACCAATGAAGCCGTGAGGGCGGCGCAGGTAGACCTGCTCGTGTAGACTGCCCTGAAGAAACGCAGTAGAGAAGTCGAGTGAGTGAAGCTCGTAGTCACGTTGAGCTGCTACGTATAGCAGCACCCGAAGAGTAGTCATCTTCGGGGTCGGAGCAAAGGTCTGAAAGAAGTCCACCCCCTCACGCTGACTGAAACCTCTAGCCAAGTAGCGCGCCTTCAACACAGGCGGCTCTCCAGAGGGCCGCTTCACCTTGAAGAGCGAGCGGCCATCGACTACGTTCACCCCAGGTGGAGGAACTGCGTCGACGTATGTGCCGGTGGATCTCCAAGATGCCATCTCCTGCTCCATGGCAGCTATCCACTGAGAGGCATAGGGTTCCGAGGTGGCCTCAGCGTAAGTGCGAGGGGTCGGGATGTCGAAAGTGTCGGGGTCACCCTCAGGGACTAAAAGCATGGAACAAAGATGAGGAGCAGCCTCGGACAGGAAAGCAAGCTCGTACTGGCGGTCCTCCAGGACGTCACTGCCGAGAGCAGAAGCACCCTCGACATACGGAGGACAGGCAGGGTCAGAGACCAGAGCAGTGGCGTAGTCAAGACGGCGGGTAGAGGCAAAGTCAGTGACTGCAGCGACAAGAGCGTCATGACACGAGACCGAAACAGACGGGTCGGTAACGAGAGAGGCAAGGACCTGAGGAACAAGAGGACGAGCGGCACGAAGGTAGTCAGACAGAGGGGGAGGCGCAACGACAAGGGAGGACAGAGGAGGCGACGGGAGGAAGGGAGGACTAGACGCATGGGAACGAAGCACATAGGGTGAGAGCGCGGGACAGGGAAGACAGGGCGAGCACGGGAGGGACGGCGAGACCAGACGTGAGACGGAGCGTCGGGTCAAGAGACAGAGGAGGAGACACAAGAGGGGAACGAGGGGGGAGATGAGCCGAAAACGAGTCCGGGGGAGGGAACACAGGGCCGTAGACTGGAAGAGGAGGGGGCGGCAGGAGAGGAACAGACGCATGGTCAGGGGACGGAAGGCCGAGCAGGCGAAGGGCTGACACCGGCGGGGACTGCTGCGGCACAACGCCGACTCGAGGGCCGGAAGCTGCTCCACGGCTACCTCCGGGACACTCCACTCCTGCACCCCTAGAAGGAACACCCCCAGAGCCAGAAACCCCTCCAGCACCGGGACCACCCCCAATTCCACCACCCCCAGAGGCGACGAACGGGTGCTACGGCAGGGACGGCGACAACGGCTGCAACGACGGCTGCGATGGCGATGACTGCTGCTGTAGCGGCGACGACGGCTGCGGAGGCGGCGGTGGAGGAGACACCGGGGGGGGGGGCAGGCGGGAAGGACTGCGCTGCAGGACCACCAGAGTCAGCAGACTCCTCAACCGGGACAACCAACGAGAGGGGGGTGACGTGAGACACACCAGACATGGCAGGACGCGGAGGGGGAGGGGCAGGCGTGACCAGGGACGGGGGAACCAGGAACAGGGGGTGGGTAACCAGGGGACCACGGTGGGGAAAGCGGTGGTAAAAGGAGATGGACTCGTCAAAGGTGATGTCACGGGAGTGAAAGAAACGGTGGGACGGCGGATGATAGAAGTGCCAGTCAGACGAGTCGAGGGAGAAACCAAGGAAGACACAGGGGACTGTGCGGGCAGTAAGGTTTCCCGTGCC